TTTGGACTTAAAATTTCAATATATAGACAACCCAAAATTAATATGGATTTGCATTAAGCCCCCTTTGCGATTAATATTCCAATGTTCTCCCGGCTAATAATGATGGTACAGTCCAGGCGCCCGAATATTCTTTTTTAATTGATTTCGGCCTGACCATTTCACAAAAACTATTTTTTTAATATTACAATATAAAAAAAAAAAAATTACTTACGAAGAGTAGCCGTCCTGTGTGGCGGGCAACATCCGCCGCCTTTTTATATGCAGAGGGGTTTCCATTGCGGCATAGGTAGGGAGCTCAGAGATATGGCCTATTCTCAAGCTGAAAACAATACACTTTTTATTTATTGAACTATTTTATACAAATATAAACAAAACAAAAGCTAAGCAAAAAAATTACTCTTCATAGACTTGTGGCCCCACCTCTCGCCCTACCTCGTGCCCCATGTGGCCCACCCCGGGTCCCGCGTGCTCCACTGGTATACTTACTTTACTCTTTGTGCTCCACCGCCACGAGTACGCGCTCGGCCGCGGCCGCCGCCACGCGCACTCCCACCCTCACTTACATTTTCACTTCTTTTTACATACATTACTTAAAAAACAACAAAAATACATGCATAAATTGGCATAAATAAAGAGAAATAAAACTTTTTTTTTGTTAAAGTTCTCCCGTTTTAGGGAAGGCAAAGGGAATAATGCCCATACAGCCTAGTCTTTAATTAAATTTATCTTCTTTTTATTTTTACATTAGAATGTCGGTGTGACGCATTCTAATGTTTCTTGGAGTGTTTGGCACGAAATGTATCGAGTTGGCTTTTTCGATAAGCTTCTGTGAGGTAGTCAACACTACAATAAAATTCTCACGTCCACTTGACCGGAATAGCGTATATTTTAATGATTCCGCTAATTCTTCAGTTACGCAGACAATTGTTACACAAAACCACACCAATTTTATTTCACAATATCCACTATGAACGAATTTAAGAATAATTAAAATAAGACGCCAACCGCACTCGATGAAATCCCGCCAAAAAACTCAGCAGCTGACGCATTATGCAGTGTTGCCAACACGGATTTTGAAAAAGGCGTAGGCCCGATGAGAAAATTACGTAGAATTAGTAAATTTTGCATATGAAAAGTACGTAGATCTACGTACTTTTTTCTGAGTGAAATGAAGAAGTTAGATGAAACCGAATGAAACGAGTATTTTGTTATACAATTTCTGTAAAAACGGGAGATAGAACAAAGAGTTCTTGGAGTAATATGCATTGTAAGCATTAACCATGCTGTGGTGGTAGACATTTACCATCAGACACAGACACTGGTGGGTGTCGATTCTGGCGTGATTCCCTAAATTTAAAACTAAATTTAACATCAGTCTCTCCTTTTCATTCTGAATTGAGAATGACAAGGATACACTGTTGTTCAATAGGCTAGTTGACACTTTTTGGAATTATATTTGAAATTGTTAATAATTGTTCTATCAGACCGAAAAAAATGTATTTTTTTTTACCTAGAAAGCTACTAAACATTAATTTTAAAATAGATTTTGCATGGACATACACTTATCTATGCTATGACGTCAAAACATTTGTAAACCAACACTCGCAAGCACGTAGGAAATAAACTTTCTGAGTTAATATTATAAAACCATGATCACATGAAAAATATAGTAGTTATCATGATACACTTGGTAAAAGACTCTAGAAAAGTTGTGGTTTAAATTGCCAAGAGAAATAAACATACTTACACATGAACACATGTTTAAAACTTGCTACATCCTGCAATTTTATCGACTGAAAGTCATTTCTTTTTGCAAAGATCAATTCGATGTAAGTACTCAGTGGTGTCGATTCTAGCGTCATTCTCTAAACCTAAACTTAAATTTGACAGCAGTATATCCTTGTCATTCTCCATACAGAATGAAAAGGAGAGACTGATGTTAAATTTAGTTTTAAGTTTAGAGAATGACGCCAGAATTAGCACCATTGAATAATATTTCAAGTTTAAAAATTTAACATTAAAGGTTATGAATGTACCTACTAAGTCAAAGAGTTTTGTCGTTTCTCCTTTCACAAATCCTGCGTCCAGCATTAATTTAGTCAACAAAACCACTAACGGGAACCTTTTCTACAAGATACAAGAGTTTTTAGATACATCTTTATAAGAAATAAACATTTGTATAGTTTTTAAGTAAAGTAACGGAAAATATTTTTCTTTATTCTAGTGAATTGTTTTACAATTTGAAAAAAATAAAGAAAATACGTAGATTCTGGGCCTGAAGTTAGTAGGTTTGCAGAAAAGGCCTAAAATACGTAGATTTACTTAAAAAGACGTAGAGTTGGCAACACTGGCATTGTGTTTAAATCATGGAACTAATAAGTACTACGTACAACTGGAATGCTCACTGTAGTTATTTTGTCAAATCAAAGTAAACCGTACCTCTTATATGCTATGGTTCATTATCGAATAACTCAGTAACCGAATAGAAAACGAGCTCGAAAGAGACCAACTTTATCTTGGTGTGTCCCTCTCATACAATTGCCATCATGAATATTTGTTCAATTAAGAGTAGAAAATATGTGTTACTTAGGTGATTATTTTTACATAGAATTAGAAACACTATTTAAATTAGAATGTTTACGGAATATTATAAATGACTAAGGAACTAGCAAACAAGCATACGGCAACTAAAAATCAATTCGTGAAATAGTTTTTTTCACATATCAAAGCTGTTGTTAACAAAATATATTTCAGCTTCGTTAAGTCAATATTTATTGTTATAAATTAGACATATAGTATAAAACAACAAAGTCAGACTTAATTGTTTTTTATTATTAACCGCATTAGATTGTAAGTTATTAGAATATTAAGACTAGCAACACTGGTAGAAATATATCACCGATGGTTTTTTGGCGGGATTTCATCGAGTGCGGTTGGCGTCTTATTCTAATTATTCTTAAATTCGTTCATAGTGGATATTGTGAAATAAAATTGGTGTGGTTTTGTGTAACAACTGCGTCTGCGTAACTGAAGAAATAGTGGAATCATTAAAATATACGCTATTCCGGTCAAGTGGACGTGAGAATTTTACTATAGCGTTGACTACCTCACAGAAGCTTAACGAAAAAGCTAACTCGATACATTTCGTGCCAAACACTCCAAGAAACATTAGAATGCGTCACACCGACATTGTAATGTAAAAACAAAAAGAAGATAAATTTAATTAAAGACCAGGCTGTATGGGCATTGTTCCCCTTGCCTTCCCTAAAACGTGAGAACTTCAACAAAAAAAAATTCACCGATTGTAAACAATATGGCGTCGGGTTTTCTCTTGTGAATTGAATCTACTGTGTATTTTAATTGGTTTCCTGTTGGCTTAAATCAGGCTAAATTGTTTGAACCCAACGTTGTTTTTAAAATAGTAAACAATGGTGCCAATTCTGGCGTGATTCTCTAAACTTAAAACTAAATTTAACACCAGTCTCTCCTTTTCATTCTGTATAGAGAATGACAAGGATATACTGCTGTCAAATTTAAGTTTAGGTTTAGAGAATCATGCTAGAATCGACACCAATATATGTACTCTAAGTAGGTGTACTAAAGAACGGTATCCTGGTTGTGGAATATCATTTCACAGGTAAGTTTATCATTTATTAGTCTTAGGGTGACTGTGCCATCTTAGCGAACTAAGGATTTAAGAAGGGAAATATGTAATAGTGAAAGATGTAGAAACATATTCTATACTTTTCAGTACTATATTTTTATTTGGCTCGGTTTTTAATTAAAGTATTCTTTAAATCAAGTTTTGTAGAAATGTTCAATTTAATTGTGTTTTGCAATTTCATTTTCCGAAATTATGTAAAAAATACACAAAATATTTCTGACAGTTAATTTCTTTCTAGGTTGCAATTGAATGTTGAAGTGAGACAAATAGTTTGAGGTAATTTCTGGAAACTTCAATAATAATTCTGTTAAATGCACCCTTCACTTCAAACCTGAAAACTACAGAACTGAAGCTCGGAAAATATTGAGGCCTGGAGCGGTACCGTCTATTGAGATTTATTGTTAATAAATACATTACTTTAAGAATGTCTTCATATGGAAAAGATGTAACTATGCAACGCATTTTGTCATCCCGTGCGAATTTGAGGCATAAATTACAAAAAACTATTTTGTTTAGCAATGTATAATTTAAATGTTTTGAAACAAATATAGTCTGCACCTATATGAATTGTTTTATTTTATTAAAAGTTACTGATTTTAACAGTACAGGATGAAAACTTATTAAGGTCATTCTGATTTATATTTTAGATGGATATTGATACAATTGAAAATAGCTTTGCTGGAGTTTGAAAATGTAACTTCGGTTGCTAATTAGAACTCTCACGTAGTTGCTAACTATGTAGATTAGTGATTAGTTTTGTTGCAGCGACATTCAATAGAGGAGCCATGAATATCAATCGAAAATGACAGTTCATTTTATCAATCGGATTTCATAATCAAGGGCTATCTGAGCATTTCGTGTGGAGTTTCACAAAGTTTTACTTAATATCTTTTAAATGAAACACACTTTTCGCATTTACTCGGGCATCATTAGTTTGAAACACATTTTTCTTCTTTAGTCTGAAGTTTCGATCGAAAGAGTGCCTATTTTATTTTAATATGTAGTGCTCGTACAAGTAAACCCGAATAGAGTAAATATCTGTTTAAAAACATCCTTTACATTGATTTTACATACAAAGTGACATCATTCTGTAAAAATTAAAATATGTTCGATGATTGTTCAACTGCAACGCGAAAATAATAATAAAATAATACTTTGATAATTCTTTCTTTAATAATTATAAATTAATAATTTGTATTGTTATTATTGCTGACCTAAATATATTTTTGGGAAAATTGATCGGATATATCGATGTTTTTTTCGCGATATAACGAAGCCGATATTGATATTTTTTAAAATATATCGATATTTTTTTCAACTTTCGACATCCCTAAGTGAGCATTCCAGTTGTACGTAGTACTTATTAGTTCCATGGTTTAAATATAAATACAGATTAAAAAAGAAAAATCGTTGAAGTTATAGAAAGAGAGATGCAATGAATGATGTCATATAAATTTTCTTTTTACGTTCTCCCATTTCAGTGAAGGTTTTTTTTCATTAGATTTCTATGACAAGCGTTGCCAGATTTTTTCTTTGCGAAGTCGGGATTTAGAAACTTTTTTAGTGAAAAAAGCGGGATTCTTTCGTCGAAAGCGGGACATAGTAAAAAAACGTATATAATCAAAAGTTTTTGAATATTTATATTTTTATTTGAGTTCAGATTACGTTTACGTGACAATAGATAGGTACCTAGTAAAAATATCCATAGAAAATGTATTTTAATAAAAACAATAATATGATATTTCAAATCAGATTTACCCTATCGTTAAATAGTTCTTTGTTTGAGAGTTCTTCATTACGCGCCGGGCAGGTGGCCAGTCCACACTTGTCTGTGCCACCCGCCCCCGCTTTCTCAGTACGCTGCACGCACGCTCGAGTTATTCCCGAGAAGCGGAATATAGCCTGTCCCGCACGGGACATTTAATTTTGATTGAAAAATCGGGACGTCTGGCAACGCCATTCTAATATTTCTTTGAGTGTGTGGCACGAAATGTATCGAGTCAGCTTTCTCGATAAACTTCTGTGAGGTAGTCAACACTGTAATAAAAGTTCTCACGTTCACTTGACCGGAATAGCGTATATTTTAAAAATTCCAGTAATTCTCCAGTTGTGTAGAAAAAAAAACCAAAGTCAAAAAAATATGGCATCAAACTTTTATATTATGTAAATTGTGTAATGACCTTATAAGTTGGTAATAAAAGTTTTAAAGGATATTTTTATTTCATTCTTTTAAGCGCACTAAATATAAGCTCGATATAAAAAAGTTTATTGTTTTTAATTTATTTAAAAATAACAACGAACATTCACTAATCCGAGGACTTGTAGTAAAAGTGCGCGCCGTCTTTCCTTCTTTCCGTCTTTCCGCCCTGGAAGAAACCCGGCGGGTGAGCGGGGGGTGTGAAATCCTCATGGATACCCATAAGCCGGCTGTAGAGTTGTCTCTGTCAGACTCTTTACTGATTAAAACACACAGTGGGGGATGCTTACGGCCAGAAGCTTTATCTGATGACTGACGCCGCATTTAAGGAGGTAGCGAGCGATGTTCGACCCAGGCCTAGCATAGGGAGGGTATACTTTTTACACGAGGTTAATTTTCAAAAATATATGTGTTTATAGATGTTATATTGAATATTAATATTTTACAGTATAAAATTTGGACAACTTAGACTAATAAAACAATTGCATTTTTTCTGTTTCAATGAATTTTTCTCCTCTTTCAATATCTTGCCGCAGTTCAGGCACAGCGTCTTCCAAGAGTTTTTGCTCGAACTCACTGAGTTTTCCATAGCCTAGGTTCCAACAGATTCCATTTTGGCCCAACAATACCGGGTTGGAGAAGTATTTGAGATCAGCTACATCGCTTCTTACGTATGCACACTCAATAATGTCAGGCTGGCCCTGAAAAATCATAATATTCTTGAAAGAATATGATATTAGCCATTCCAGATCAAATGCAGTTGTTGAACTGTATTTTATAAATTATGTTAGTAGTAAATTATGTAGTGCGTATGTTTTACTACTGTCATTATTGGACATGAAATCAAAATTAAAAACTTTGATACCTTTATTCCTCGAAGAATGGAGTCAACTAAACGAGCAGTCGCGTATGCCAGCGACAGTGTCGCCAAGCCGGTGCCAGCCTTGGATATCGCCATCTACAGAAATATCATCCAAATAGTTATTCATAAAATAAGTAATGCAGTTATTGGAAATTCGCAACACGAAGAATCTTAATGCTATTCAGTGATTGAGTCTCACCTTATCACCAGCCTCTCGAACTCTTATTGTGAGAGCTTTTATTTGTTCCTGGTCGCGGAAATCGATGGGAGGCTTGCATTGGCTAAACACGGGGATGATTGTGTTAGTAGAGCCACCTCCTATTACTGGGACAGACACAGTGCGCGGGTCCAAATCGAAGGTCTCGGCTACGAAAACGGAAGCTCGGATCACGTCCAGTGTTGTAACGCCAAAAATGCGCCCAGCGTCGTACACGTCCGCCTGCATATAGAACTTATTAGCAAAAAACAAGAAAAAAACATTAACTGAAGAAGTTAACCTGGATGCAATTACATGGCTTCAGGTAGATATGTAAAATGAAAAAAATCTAAAGGGTTATCGAAAAGATGTCATATATATAACAAACTACTAAGAGCAGTGTTATGCGGCAAAGCGGCATGTTCTTTCGAACAAAACGATTGGATGGACCACATTTCGAATTTAAGGGTACAGCCACAGTGCACGCAGGTTCAGAATCAGATTCAGACTCAGAAAACAAGCGCGAGAAATAAACAGTGTAGTTTAAGCAGGGTGGCCATAGTGGCAGCAGGCAAGTTTTCTGAGTCCGAATCTGATTCTGAACCTGCGTGCACTGTGGCCGTACCCTAACGTGGGATTGATGGCACCAGTCTAAGGCCCTCGGGCATTAGATGACCACAACCACGGTCACGATTGGCCTGGCAACCTTGGTCGCAGACACAATGGTTGGGCTTTGGCACGGAGCACCCCCACTAGAGTCCGCATCACACAAATTTTGTTTGGAATCAAAATCGCCAAAGTCGGCGGCGTGCAGGGAGGTCAGCCCCGTTGTGATTGGACGCGTCAAGGTCAGATCATATACTCAGTGCAGCGAAGTGATGAGGGTAAGATCGATTTTCGAAAATATCGATATTTCCTATCCATAAACAATTTAGTATAGAGACCTAGTACTTTGGTGCGTTCTAATGACATGACGCGACCAGTAACTACAAACTAAATAATATATAAGCAACACAAAAAAACACGTGACAAATATATAGATAGACAATAATATGATGTTTATGATAATGTTTAAAACTTAAAGCGCCTTACTCATCGGGTCAGTACGGGTTCATTTCGTTTTGTTTGCGGGAGTGACAGGATGGGCGAGTCGAATGATTCGGTAGTATTCAGATGCACTCGGCACAGCGAGCTAAGTATCCGCTCGGTAAAGATCTGTACGGGAACCACTAAGTGGGAAAGCTCTCACTTAATTATATGCACTCGGAAAGAATCTGTTCAGATTCGGTACAGAATCGAAACAAAACAAACTCGCACCGACCCGAAGATAAAGGCCCCTTAATTATTATTTTCTGGTACTTATGACAATAAAGAAATTTAGTAAAACCCATTTTAACGAAGATGTACAGAAAATTATAACAATTTACCGTAGATTAAATCAAAATGGGAAGATATCAAAAAGAGACCCCGACCACACGGATACGCGTCACAAAAATGAGCCTCTTAAATTAACTGCATGCACACAATTCGCTATAGTCGCAATTTGTCAAATAATATTGCAGATATTTTCTAACTGTTTTAAAAGATAAAATAATGCCTCCGACGATTTCAGAAAGTGCACAAATGGTTCACAGAAGTTCACAAATAGCACAAATAGTTCGATTTATATATTTAAGTTATTAATTTTATTTTTTAAGAATTTTAGTTTTAGGATTTAGTTTCATTGTTCTAGTTCGATTTTAATATCGACGGCATTTTCTAACAATAAAATTCCGTATGACATTACACTACGGCAAAAAGTTTACTAAGCTGGCGGTATTTACATCCGTTAAGTGATCTTTCTTCATTATGTTACGGTATATGTTGCAGAGCTAAGTCTATTTGACATTTCAACAATATGAGAATCTATTGAAGCTTAGAAGCCAGAGAAGTCCCTAAGAAAACTGTGGTATCTACAAGGCCCATATTCTTAACCTTTATATTCACACTGATGTTTACCCGTTTAATATTAACCCGCAATACAAAATTTTAACATTTAGTTTTTCCTTTATTAGGTAGTTGATTATTGACATTGAGCCAGTGGACGACCTTAGAGATATAATTATTCACGTTATCAATAACTGTTTGCTTATAGTCGAGTATCTTGTGGGTTTTTCTTGTAGTCAAGTATAAAATAATTACAATGTAAGTTAAATAAAAAGGACCAAGACTTGAAGTCTGCAAAATTCCTATCACAACCGACTAACCCTGAACTTTTTGCCAATGATGTTAACTCACTGAACACTATCGTTCAACTATGGTGTAATAAAATCCAGATTGGTATCTCTTTATCGTTTTTTAAGTGATGTTTCATGAAAATAGCAAACAAAACCCTGAGACAAGTCGCTAGACACACGTAGAAGTGGGTAATGGAGTTATATTACTGTATTTAAAGAGGTCATGTCATATAATGCATTATTTAAACATTGAAAGTCACCTTTAATGCATACTTATAAGGTCTTAATTAAAACGCATGCGTCAAAGACTTATGACATTTTGAAATGCAGGGTCGTAAAATTTTGCGGAAGAATATAGACCTTATATTTTTGACTTTTCGTTATGAATGCGCTGTTAGCAATATAGCAGGTACAGACGGCGAAGAAAAGAGACGGCTTTACGGCGACGTACTCGTATAACCGACCATGCATTTGAATATAACAAATATTTTATATTCAATCAGTTTATAGTAAGTATTACAACAATAAAATTTGCTTTAAATGCTTTAAATAATAAAAAAACATTAATTAGATACCTGTCGAAAAAACTATTAGTATTTTTTCTGCATTTTTTCACGGAGCTTTGCGGCATCTTGACTTTTCAGCGGTCCGCGCGTGACTGTGAACCAAGAAGTACTTGAGAGGAGCTCAAGCACTTCTTAATTGGGGCACATTTTGAGCGCTCATGGTGTATCTAGGGTATTTAATATCTTTAATTCTATGTTTTTATCTAGGTCGAAAACTATGCGCATGTAATTTCATACAAATCCGTTTAACAGTTTTAGCGCGAAAGAGTAACAAATATCCATACAAATTTTCGCGTTTTCAAATTTCAGTAGGATATGTTTGAACTCAAATAAAAACTGTTGGTTGTATACTCATGACATCTGTTATTGTATACGATGATATAAATATTTTTTATTTATTTTTTCCATTTCCATAGCTGGCAAACTTATCGATAAACTTACGGGTTGAGACATGAGCTGCGTCTGCGTCACTAGCAATACACGTGCCGGTGTGAGACTGGGATAGCATATATGATGTAGCGCATGCGAGAAAGGGACAATGTACAAAGACATCAACGCGTTCACCAAAAAATAAATACAATTAACAGCAATTTAATATAAGAGTATTTTTGTCTTTTTGTAATGTATTTAAACTTACCGGTGAAAAGTAATACTATATTTTTGAAGACTGGAAGTTTTACTCCACTTTCTACACAATTGAATTGCATAGTACGGCATTTTTTTACAGTTTTTTAACTCGAAAACGAGAGAAGCAGTTCGACCGACGCTCGGTTACCAAATGAAATGATGTATCGCGACGTCTGTGGGCGTGCCTCACGCATAGGTAAAATACTACTTAAGCTTGGCGTAAGCGCTTGCCTTGTATGCGGACTCTAGTGGGGGTGCTCCATGGGCTTTGGCCACGACCACGACTGGCCGTAAAGTGGCCAAGTGCTGGTCATTTATTTATTTCATATAAATAACATCTGTATCAAACCTCATTGCAGAAAAACGTCGTCGTATTGAGTTGAGGAACGATATGAAGCGTGTGCACTCACGAATTTTCCGTATGACACTGAGAATGTTGCGGCCAGGCCGCATTGGATCACATGGATCTAGTGCGGGAGCATTTATAGCAAACTATACGTAAGTTTGCCGCAACGACCAGTCGTGCCGGCCCGGTGTGGGGTCTGTTGGCTGTTGCGGCCAAGCGCGCAACCTTCATATGGTTTCTTTAGTCAATTTGGTACTTGCGGCCATTGGTCATGGCCGACTAGTGGTAGAGGTGCCTAAGATACGTACTAACGTATGTTTCAAGTGATGACTAACTTTTTTCATGACTTCGGACACTATGGGCACCAAGGAATTGATGGGACTTGAAATAATGACCGACATAGCCTTGGGCGCGTTTTGTGCGGTGTAGATGGCCAAGTCACGTGCAATACGTGCGTTAATATCGAACGCGCTAGGGCCTGATTTTCGCGACACACTTGCTGCATGTATGACGACATCCGCACCTGTTTTAAAATGTGTTCAATTAATAAGCATAGAAAATAAATCAAATGAAAACTGAATATATGAGCGTCATCATGATATAAGGGTCTGCTGGGGTGCGGACGGATACTTATTTATAAGGAGTTCTGTGGAGTAACTAGCCTACTTTCCATATTATTCTCTAAACTAAAACTGAATTAATTCACAGTTATATAAACCGTATACCACTGGGCCTGCTTGGTGGATTATGCGTAGCCCATTCCCCTATGTCTTCCATAGGGAAAGCTTGTGCGTGTGCCTCAGCAGCAGAGATATTGACAGGTTGATGGTTGACGATGATGATATGCCATATCTTTGCAGTATAGGCTGGCAGCCAGCGATGGAGAGCATTTTTCGATGTTTGACGGATGGATGGCTCCAGGATGTTACAATGGCGACCTCGATCGCCGCCCCTATGTGTGTAGTCTGAGGTGTACATGCTATAGGCGCGCTAGTTAGATGAACACCGCCAATTTATATTATTTTCTGGTTTACAACAACAAATACCAATAAAAGAGGTTAAAAATAAAATAGTGCTTTATAAATTTCACGCACAGGCGCTGCCAGGGGTCGGCGCAACCCTGGTCGCAACTGGTGGGGGCCAGGCTTTAAGTTCTTCGGGGGAATTTCTACCGAATTCGTTTAGCGAAGGGTCATTATGTAATAAATAATCCATAATTCCATAATTACTTTTACTTTTTTAGATGCGAAAATGTATCTGTCTGTCTATTACATATTCACGCTTAAACAACAGAACCGATTTTGATGAAATTTGGTATGTAGATAGTTTGAGATTCAGGAAGGGACATAGGATAGTTCTTATGTCATAAGTCATACTTTATAGGGAAGGGAAAAAAGGGTAAACATTTTTTTTTATTTTTTTTAAACACACCTATTTAGCCTATCCCCAAAGTAAGCACTGCAAAGCTTGTGTTATGGGGACACTAGGGTAACGGATAGAATACATATACTGATACATATATACGTATATTTATATGGAAATACATAAATATACGTATAATACATAAATGACTGGAGTACAAATGCTCGTATTCATCACACAAATATTTGCCTCCACCGGACTCGAACCCGACCTCTCGAGTCGGCGACACTATGAAACCCGGCGTACAAACCACTCGGCCACGGAGGTCGTCAATCGTATGGGACTAGTGTTTAATATTTACATTATGGTATACTACAACTTTTTACTACCCATACCCTTAATAGCCGCCACAACTTCGTTAGATCCAACGTGACAAGTGACTTTGGCCAGGGAGTCAATGTGCGCGACATCCTCACTGATGCCTGGAGTGGAAGCCGTGACGTCAAACAAGGCTAACTTGGTGACCAGGGGGTTCATTTTGAGGAGCAGTGCTAAAGGCTGGCCAACTCCTCCGGTGGCGCCAGTAACCACCACTTTGTAGTATCTCTAAGAATCATTTAATGGAAAATTATACTTTCTATTTGTTGTTGGCCTCTACACAAAGGGAAAAGTATAATTATAATAAATACTGGGTACTACTAAGTAGATATGTAGAAACATTTTACTATTTGCACGGAAAAGATAAAATAATTCTGGGGATTAATTCTAGGAAGAATATTAATCGTTTTTTTTTATCAGCGTGATGTTAACTTACTTGTGATTTCTTAATAAAAGTGAAACTATTATGTGCACATCTATTCACAGTGAACTTAAAAGAGCAGGAGAACATTATTTTATTTAGAAGATCAATTTATTTTAGATCAGATGTCTTCTGTGATGGCTTCTTCGCAATTTAGCCAATGTTGAGTACTTAAGTTTAATTATTAGCATTAAATTAAATAAATAGCCATAACGATTGACAAATGATGACAAAAGTCTCTGCTCTTGTTTCCAGACAGCGAAAACCTTTTATACAATGAGGGCTATCGCGTATGAATCCACCGCTAGAGGCGCTAGTATAGCGTGAGGTCTCCGAAATGTCAAATGTTATTGCTTGTTGGTTGACTACGCGGGTTTATTTCTTATTAAAATAATGTTGTGAATAATTGGTAATAATTCGGATTAATTATGGCAAATATGTTATGTGGCAATGAATGTCAGTTATTAAAAATTTGAGCTTAGAAAAATGATTATGTTCCCAGTTTTTCCGAATAAAACAAAACTGGGCGTCACTGTGGCATGGTCTATTATGTTTAGGATATGGTTCTTTTGTGTTAAAATACGATCTAAATGTAACCTTTGATTTCATGTGCGTATTAATGCCTTTTCACATGTACACGGACATGGCACGGTTGCCGTGCCGTGTAAAATAGTAATGTATGAGCAACAATGAGAGCTTTCACATTGCACGGCGACCGTGCCGTGACCGCGTGTCAGCCGTCCTTATCCACTATAAGCACGGTTTTGACGCGGCAACCGTCTTTATAGTATTGTATGGACTTGTATAGACGCGTTCACATGAACACGGGCGCGGTACGGCACGGCGAGCGCAAATACCATTCGTCAGCTAAAGTCATAGGGGAACGGACGGACGATTGTTACAGAATGTCTGTCGAAATCGATGTTGATGTGTTGATTTCGCTAGTTGAAGCGCGTTCTACTTTATGGGATAAAACCATTGCGTCTTATAAAAACAGGAACGAGACAAAAGGACCGTGGAAAGAAGTATGCATAGGATTAAATAGTAGTTTCGAAGAATTAGATGATAATGAAAAGAATCTTTTTTTGTTCCATGATGAAAGACGTCGTCGTTCCCCAAAATTCTCGATAATATTGCAACATCCATAGCCGGCGACCGTGTGTAAGCCGTATACATGTGAAAGAGCTAGCACGGTTGCACGGCATGGCGGCCGTGCCGTGACCGTGTGCATGTGAAAAGGGCCTTAATAAACTTTAAAAGTTACAATTTAGGACATCACTCAACAGTGGCGCCATCTGGTGAGGCAGAAAACGGTAGCCCTCATTAAAGTTGCGTTCCCAAGCTCGCAAGTTCGCTCTCATGAGCTCCCAGCCACAGCCACAGCCACAGGCCACAGCTGAGAGAATTCTTAAATTATGGAAATAGGTTTTCGCTACATTTTCGAGGAACTCGGAGTCACGCTCTCAGTTTCAGGCCATCCTTTTCGAAGTAAATAGATCCCATGAGTATAGATATTTTACCACATAATTAGACATTTAAAGGCTATTAAAAAAAATACCTCAAATATACCAGTTACCGAGGTTATAAAACTCGCTCGATGTTAGGCAGGTGACCTGATAACTAAGTACTTAATTTGAATTACTATCTTCTACAATACGCTGTTTAAATCAATGTATTGCCCATTAACAAATAAAACGGTAAACAAACAAAAAAATTAAAAAGTATATCCATGCAAGGCATAATTATCTAAAGCTTAATTTTTTAACAACATTTTATCCTTGTCATTCTCTATATAGAAAGAAAAGGAGAGACTGATGTTAAATTAAGATTAGAGAATCATGCATCCCAGAATCTCCACCTATGTATTGTTTATAATTTTAATGTGGCTATTTACCTGCATCGATATAAAGTACTTTTTAAAATAACATCATTTTCCATTTTTGTGGGTGCTGCGACTTGCGACACGGAACGACCCAAAATGGTAGCGGTCGCGCGTGAACTAGTTTTTATAAACGTACGAGAACAATGTTCTTGTACCTTTTGACAGAGGGGAAATAACTGTATTGGCATCTCCCGTTAAAGATACGCAAAGACGATAATAGACGATAATCAACAGATCCATAGATATTAATCTATGTAGTCTGTGGCTGTGGTGTCATGTCTGTCAACTGTCAATGTCAATTTTGTGTTCAATTTACAGCTGGCTGAGTTGTTTTGTTTGGTTGAGGTGTTTTCTATTCTAATAAAAATTATAAAGATAAATTATATATTTATAAAGTCGATTATATTATATGTATTAAAACTTTCACACTACAAATAATTCTACGAAAATGAACGTTATTCAAGCAGTAAAAATGTATATAACAAAAATGACGGAGGAGAGTGGGCCTGGAATGAAAGTAATACTAATGGATAAAGAAACGGTGAGATTGTTCTAAAGAATGAAATTATTTCATTATTACACTTATTTATGTACATATATTCAGTGAACATTACCATGAGATATCTTTAGCCAATATAGTAAAGTTATCCAATATATTGGGCCAGTGTAGACCTTACATGATATAGTAATAATTTTGTTTAAAAGAGTATATTTTAAGAGAACTTATAAATCCATAAGACATCGATTCAGACAATATTTACACTATTATATAGAAGACATGTATCCTTCAGTTACATATTTAATAATAATAACTTATTTGTATTTTCATATAAAAAAGAATAACATAACTAAATTATGATATATAATTTCTAGTAAAACTTTTCTTTAGATTTAAACATCTAGCAGTTAAATGCTTATAAATAAAATAAAAACATAGATTATAATAATTATATTTATTTGTAAAATATAATTCTAGATATATAGTATAATATATAGTTATGTACATGCTAATTTTCTTATAAATATGATGTTATTTATAGACTGCAATGTACAATGTTAAGATTTGTTATTTTAGAAGTATATTTTCTTTCAGACAAGTATTATTAGTATGGTGTTTAGTCAATCAGAGATTTTGCAGAAAGAAGTGTATTTATTTGAGCGCATTGACAGTCAAACTAAATGGGACAACCTGAAACACATGAAATGTATTGTATTTTTGAGACCAACATCGGAGAACATTGCTTTGTTGTCGAGAGAGCTGAGACATCCCAAATATGGAGTGTATTTTATTTGTAAGTTATAAAATCTTAGTTGTTGAATTTTATAAATAGCTTACTTGAAAAAAAACAAAAACAAAAGCTTCTAATTATTATTTATTTTCTGGCAAAGTAACTTAATTGTACATTTTGGAGCATCAAAAATTTTACAAAACCGTTATTTTTATAATTTTCTCTATAAAGAAATAGGTTTTGTACCAACTCCTCCCCATGTATAATAATTCTTAAACTAAAATAGATCAAAATATTTAATTGGCCTTTCTCATAAACTCAACATAATTTTTGTTATTGTATTGGACTTGATTTGCAGATTTTAGCAATGTGATATCAAAGTCGGATGTCAAAACACTAGCAGAGTGTGATGAGCAGGAGGCTGTGAGAGAGGTGCAAGAGGTGTTTGCGGACTACCTTGCCATTGATCGCCATCTCTTTTCATTTAGCATCACTGGGTGCCTACATGGTAAGAATAATTTAAATTAATCTGAACAAAATGTTTTTTTAACAAAGAGATGAGAAAAGCATGCTTATATATTCCCCATGTGAAAGACTATTAATATTTTGTAGTTTTAAGAAACTGGACTGATGTGATCCCTATAGTTTAGGTTAATTTAAATAAATTAGGTTTCTTTGTAGTTTTATAGGGGCACAGCAGTATTTACAATACCAGCACACATTGGAACTATTTGTCAAACATCACATAAAGCAAATATGAAGTTCATATTGTTTATTTGATACAAATTGTAACAATGTGGGGTTACTTGAATGGACAAACAGAACAAATATATATAGTTACTCCACACATTAGGTCTTATGTGGTCCTTGTAGCATTACCATTATTAGGTGTGAGTCCTGGTCATGTTGCTACTATCTTTGAGGTGTGCGCCTATTCGCTATGAGGCGGCGTTTGAGTAATAGGGAGTTATACAGTAACGCAGGGAGGCTATGGAAGTTATCTACCAATTTATACCTTTCAATTCACATCCAGTTTCGCACAGATATCAAGGCTATTTACAGATATGATCAGGTGTACATTTTGGAAGTTACTCATTGGGGATAAAGAAAGAATCTATTATATTTATTCATTGATGTATAAATACAAGTATACTCCCAATCACCTAACAAAAGTGCATCTAAAGACGTCCAAGCTGTTAGTAATATAGCAGATACGGACCGCAATTAAAAGAAACTCCTATATAACTGACCATACCTTTGAATATCACAAATATTTTATATTTAATCAGTTTATAGAAAGTATAAGAATAAAATTTGCTTCAAATGCGTTAAATTAACAAACATTGATTAGATACCTGTCGAAAAAACGACACTTTACGTACTGCATTTTTACATGGAGCTCTGCGGCATCTTGACTTTTCAACTGTCCGCGCGTGACTGTGAACCAAGAAGTGCTTGAGTGGAGTTCAAGCACTTCTTGATTGGGACACATTTTGAGCGCACGTGGTGTGTCTAGGGTATTTAATATCGTTGGTCAATGTCTTCGTTATCAGGTCGTATGTGGTCCCAGCAGCATTTACATCGATGCGCGCAAGGTCTGGTCGCGCTTCTTCTGTCTTTAAAGCGTCGCGCGGCCGTCCGATATGAGGCGGCGTCTGAACCTTGCGCCCGATTGGCCGAGCGAGTGCGCGATCTACTGCGCAGAGAGGCGGTGCTGATAGACAACAATATACCTTTCAACGGCGACGTGCCCACTCCCCAGCTTCTGATCATTGATAGGAGAGACGATCCGGTCACGCCGCTGCTTAACCAGGTATGTGTATACATATATTGCGAACTTTAGAGAGAGACAGATATAGAGAATGGACTGAGCGCCGCCCTTAGAACAAGAACATAGCATAACAAGCATAGAAGAAGCTTAAATCCAACTTATGAGGTCGACTCATATATTTATCCCTCTTTTATATAGAGACCAAAAAAGAGAAATATATATTGTCATATTAAAAATAGTGGGTAAGTTTTATGTGAGAAAGACAAAAATGTTTTAAAGCAATATGGATAGGTCGAAATAATATTAAAAAAGTACTCGGGCGCCAGACCTTCCTCAATAATTTTCTCTTAGTATGTATATCCTTATTAGTACATATTTACATACTCTTACTGTCCCCGCTGCATCTTTGTTGTGTTTAGTTGAATGTATGAATGGAATCCTCGCTCCAATTCTCATCTCTGCTCTATCTGTTCCATCGTGAAGTGACGTTAAAATTTTCTTCCTTTTTGTTCCTTCCAAAAGGCAAGCAAAGGAATCAGTCTAGAAGCTTTGTTAAGCCACAGAAAATAAAAATAAAATGGACCAGCGACAATGATCTATGGTAAACGAAAATAGTGAAGTTGAAGTTAAGCAACTTTCGCAGTCAATGGATGGGTGACCAAAAATTTACTATCTCGAGCTCCTCCGTGCTTCGGGAGGTACGTTAAGCTGTTGGTTTCGGCTGCATCTACAGTCTTTAGCACCCACCACTCCGCACTGGGCCCGCGTGGTGGGTCATGGCCCAACCTCCCTATACCGTCCACAGGGAAAGCCTGTGCCCCAGCAGTGGAGACATTAATAGGATGACACCGGCTATATTTATATACCCTTGAAAAGCCGGGGTAGATTGCTTGTTATTTATTTATTTATATACATATATAATAAGTACTATATTTTTTGGCAGTGGACATACCAAGCCATGGTGCATGAGATATTGGGCATCAACAACAATCGCGTGAGCCTGGCGCATCTGCCTGACGTTCATAAAGACTTCAAGGAGGTAGTACTGGCATCGGACCAGGACGAGTTCTATGCTAAGGTACGAACTGTCTGTCTGTCTGTATCGTTATATTATATGGTAGTGGCTATACCAAGCCATGGTGCATGAGATATTGGGCATCAACAACAACCGCGTGAGTCTGGCGCATCTGCCCGACGTTCATAAAGACTTCAAGGAGGTAGTACTGGCATCGGACCAGGACGAGTTCTATGCTAAGGTACGAACTGTCTGTCTGTCCGTATCGTTATATTATGTGGTAGTGGATATACCAAGCCATGGTGCATGAGATATTGGGCATCAACAACAACCGCGTGAGTCTGGCGCATCTGCCCGATGTTCATAAAGACTTCAAGGAGGTAGTACTGGCATCGGACCAGGACGAGTTCTATGCTAAGGTACGAACTGTCTGTCTGTCTGTATCGTTATTTTATATGGTAGTGGCTATACCAAGCCATGGTGCATGAGATATTGGGCATCAACAACAACCGCGTGAGTCTGGCGCATCTGCCCGACGTTCATAAAGACTTCAAGGAGGTAGTACTGGCATCGGACCAGGACGAGTTCTATGCTAAGGTACGAACTGTCTGTCTGTCTGTATCGTTATATAATGTGGTAGTGGATATACCAAGCCATGCGAGCCCTTACCGCCAAATTATCGTAAGCGACACTCGCCAAATTATCGTAAGCGACACTTTTGTCGAAATGCGTTTTTTGTGGAAACTAATATTTTAAACCGTAACGGACCCATTTCTGTTGATATTTCCCTCTATTCTTCCCTCTATTATATTATTACGGTGTTCTTTTGCAGGGAAATATCAACAGAGATGGGTCCGTTACGGTTCAAAATATTAGTTTCCACAAAAAACGCATTTCGACAAAAGTGTCGCTTACGATAATTTGGCGAATGTCGCTTACGATAATTTGGCGAATGTCGCTTACGATAATTTGGCGGTAAGGGCTCGCATGGTGCATGAGATATTGGGCATCAACAACAACCGCGTGAGTCTGGCGCATCTACCCGACGTTCATAAAGACTTCAAGGAGGTAGTACTGGCATCGGACCAGGACGAGTTCTATGCTAAGGTAGGAACTGTTTGTCTGTCTGTATCGTTATATTATGTGGTAGTGGATATACCAAGCCATGGTGCATGAGATATTGGGCATCAACAACAACCGCGTGAGTCTGGCGCATCTGCCCGACGTTCATAAAGACTTCAAGGAGGTAGTACTGGCATCGGATCAGGACGAGTTCTATGCTAAGGTACGAACAGTCTGTCTGTATCGTTATATTATGTGGTAGTGAATATACCAAGATTTTGATATTGGCATCATAATAGTTTAAATCCTGCTGTTTTAACATCTTTGTCATTATATTTATTTTAAAAAAAAAATTTCTTTGGTATTGTCATATAAAATATTTAATCCTGCTGTTTAAATTTCTTTGGCATTGTATCTGTTCTGAAAATTTGATGTTGAAATCTATTTAATATTCATTCTTGTGTAATTAACATTTGCATGCCATTTGAAATGGTTTAATAGGCCTTAATACAATGTTTTGGATAACCAACCAATCTGATGTAGCCAATCTCTATTTACGGCCAATAAGTCATTTCATTTCATCGTAACATGACCATGAAATTTTCTTATAATTAATTACTTAGTAGGTATACAAAATTATTGCTGTCATATAACCAAACACACTATCTTTCTCTCTTAAGGAGAAACAGTAATGAATTAAAAAACGAGTTGTATGGCCACACAACTGATTTGAAACTGCTTTAGCTCCATCGATGCATGAATATATAATATAATATTTATATATTATATATATATGTGTACAATAGGAAGAGGAGCTCGATGGCGCAGGTGATTAGCGCGTTCGGCTGCGATCGTTAAAGTTAAACAACTGTCGCAGTGGTCGGTCATTGGATGGGTGACCAAAAATTTGCTATCTCGAGCTCCTCCGTGCTTCGGAAGGCACGTTACGCCCTTGGTCCCGGCTGCATCTGCAGTCGTTAGCACCCGCCAATCCGCATTGGGCCCGCGTGGTGGGTCATGGCCCAATCTCCCTATTCCATCCATAAGGAAGGCCTGTGCCCCAGCAGTGGTGACATTAATAGGCTGATGATGATGTGTACAATATATACATGTATGTACATATAAATATTTCATTTACTAGCTGTAAAAGAAAGAGAAAGAAAGTGTGCGCGCGCACTGCTTTCTTTAGATTATATGCCCCACTCACCAACTCCCGTTCGCCTCGCCCGAACACAGTTTTCGTAACGCGTAACGCATTCGCCAGCTTACCCCCCAAGTCAAACGTTCGTAAAGTTTCATTTCAATAATCTTGAGATTGGCATACCTATTGCAAGGCATCCTAGCCAACCCCTTATCGTTAGGAGACTAATGAGGGCATCATTCAATTCAAAATTCAATATCGTTTATTCAGTCTCGGCTGTTACAAGCACTTGTGAATGTCGAAAAGCTACACCATCGGTTCGCAAATCTACGGCGGGAGACCTTGTACTGAGAAGAACCGGCAAGAAACTCAGCAAGCGCTGTTTTTTTCTCCCTGTATTATAAACAGAGTCGTCAAATTGAAAAATGACTTCAATGAGGTAACTCATAAAGTCACATTCCATTACAAATGCAAATAATATAAAAATTATGACTATATAAAAAACCGGTTTAAAAAGTTTAGGAATGCCGTGTCCTACAGTTTAGGCAAAAAACAAATTAACGATTAAAGTTTAGTACAACGATTAATAATATCCGATGAAGCAAGAGCAGACTCATCTCCGCTGGCAGCATCCGTTCACGAGCATGACGCATAAACCAGCCATCGCTTCGCTCAACCATTTTTTAGGGAACGCAACGACCCGCCTCACCTGACACCACCGAAGAGATGTACAGTGTTCATTATCACAGATGTACAGTGTTCTTGGAAGCATCAACAATGTTTTTGGGTTCTGTATATTTATTTAAATGTACAAAGTGTTTCATTTGTCAATTTTCCAATTTGACTAGATCGATAATTCGGAGTAATGGTGTAAACTTTCTGTCTGTTTCATCTAAGTGGTCATTTTATGAAACTTATAAAAATCTGTCGTCTGTTGTCAGCGACGTTTCAAGGATGCCATGCAAGTCCCATCCAAGAAACTTTATTGCCTACGAAAAATATCAAATGTTTAAAAATCCCCAGCTACGCAAATGCCAAAATCTAACTATCCCCACAATATAGGTGATGACGGGGTACAGTAAATTAAATTCTATTTAGTCCGTCAGTTAGATGATCAAAAAATAATGGACACGTATTTTTTCTTTGGGCAAAATGACAAAGTTATAGCGCGTCAAAGTTTCCCAAACTAAACTGACCACGACGCGGAGCGCACGCCGCTCATACGCACGCATCTATACTTCGTCTGCTCGCGCGCCGATATTTAATACGAAACCTCTTTTCATTTTGCTACTCCTTCTGATTATATCCGTGTTAGGAACCTACCACTATCGCCTACACTAAGAAAACCCTTCACGCTCATAACTTGATTTTGATTGCGTCGTTGCTTTCGGGTGTGAACGCTGATTGGTTCGACTACTCGATGTCGCGTCGTTTGATTGGTTTACTATCTATTAAGTGAAAGTGTAATGGGGACGAGCCGGCGACATCAGTTCCCGTACAAACGATCTATGATCACCCTTCTAACCTCTTTCTGTGTTCTGTGGTTTTATTAAATGATTAATTTGTGTGAAAACATAAGAAATAAAATAACAAGGGTAAACTTGTGCAGTTGATGTTTTAGTATGTAAAAATACAACTGAAAATGCTTCGTTGTCAATGGATTATGATCAAAATGTTTGCTAGGGTACCTATGTAACGGAAATGTATCTTCTGTCTGCAGAACCTGTATTCCAACTTCGGCGAGATAGGTCAGACAATGAAGTCCCTCATGGACGAGTTCCAGCGGAAGGCGAAGAGTCATCAAAAAGTGGAAAGTATCGCCGACATGAAGAACTTCGTTGAGACATATCCGCTCTTTAAGGTATTGTAGTTTATGATATCTTTGATTCTTTGAGGGATGTTCCAAAGACTTAGCTTATACCGAGTTGTGACGCGCATCTCTTATCTATTAGACAAGTCCGTCCGTCCGTCTGTCTGTGGTGCTGTTTCAGCGGCCAAACCGTAAGAGATAGATAAAGAGAATATTTAAGCTATAAGTTAAGAATAGTCTGATAAGACTACAAACCGGATTTGAGTAACGTAGCACTTCCGGTTTTCGAGAAATCACGAATTTCAAACGAAACCACACAAAATCTCCGAAGTTCTCAATTGTTGACGACCTCCGTGGCCGAATGGTTTGTACGCCGGGTTTCATGGTGTCGCCGGCTCGAGAGGTCCCGGGTTCGAATCCCGGTGGGGGCAGATGTTCGTGTGATGAATACGTGCATTTGTACTCCAGTCATGGATGTTTAATATGTATTTCTATATAAATATACTTATATATGTACAGTATATGTATTCTATCCGTTACCCTAGTATCCCATAACACAAGCCTAATAGTGCTTACATTGGGGCTAGGCTAATAGGTGTGCGTGTTGGAAATATAAAAAAAAAAAAAGAAAAAAAAAATAATTAAATACATTTTTTTTTTAAATCAGGTTTTGGTGAACATTTGGTTCACTGGTTTGCTAGTTTGATTATAATAGACTTAAGAAAATATAACTAGCAGCAGACGTCTTTTGTTCATGGTCACTGTTGTTCGTAGAAAATGTCGGGCACAGTGACCAAGCACGTGACAGTGGTAGGTGAGCTGTCAGCGGCGGTGTCTCGTCGCCATCTGCTCGATGTATCCGAGCTGGAGCAGGAGCTGGCCTGCCATGCTGACCACGCCAGACACTTGCAGGTATTTATATTACACTCTTAGGCTCGTATTACTACTGGGTGTTGATCTTTACTTGAGTACAGTTAAAAAGGGATGTCGCTATGTGTTATATATAGCAACATCCCTTTCTAACTATGCTCAAGATTATATCAATCACTGAAAATCTTTCTATAATATGGGCCTTAGGCTCGTATTACAGAATGACAACTGGGTGTTGATCTTTACTTGAGTACAGTTAAAAAGGGATGTCGCTATGTGCTATATATTAATAATAATAATATTCTTTATTGACATACACCTCACAGGACATAAAAGACATTAAACATGACAGTGAAAACGTACGCATATGGGTGGCCTTATTGCTAAACAGCAATCTCTTCCAGGCACCCATGACAGTGAAACAAATATATCTACTATATAAAAATAAGTCGGGTTTTCCTTCCTGACGCTATAACTCCAGAACGCACGAACCGATTTCCACGGTTTGGCATTCGTTGGAAAGGTCTCGGGCTCCGTGAGGTTTATAGCAAAGAAAATTCAGGAAAAATTAAAAAAAAAAACTTCTTTTAATCACCAAACGAAATGTTACATAAAACGAAGCCATCTGGTGACGAAACGGAGTTCGCCGGGTTTGCTAGTAAGATATAAATATAGCGACATCCCTTTCTAACTATGCTCAAGACGAGATCAATCACTGAGAATCTTTTTATAATACGGGCCTTAGATTAAAATAAAAAGGGAAGATACGGCACTCGCGGGTCAAAAGCGATCCGCTTTTATTGTGGCGCATGACCACAATTCGCTTTAGTCACAATTGGACATTCAAACACGATGCATGTGCACTCAATATATATAACAATATTGTGTATATTCTATGTTTTAAAGATAAAACAATACCTTCGAAGCTTTTATGAAGAACACAAATAGTTTAAAATCAAATAACAAATGCCTCGCCTGCACTTAAGCAATTTTCGCAGTAGTCGGTCATTGGATGGGTGACCAAAAATCTTCTATCTCGAGTTCCTTCGTGCTTCGGAAGGCACGTTAAGCCGTTGGTCCCGGCTGCATCTGCAGTCGTTAGCACCCGCCAATCCGCACTGGGCCCGCGTGGGTGGGTCATGGCCCAATCTCCCTATTCCATCCATAGGGAAGGCCTGTGCCCCAGCAGTGGGGACATTAATAGGCTGATGATGATGATGATGATGAAACTACACTCACTGGCTAATGCTGTAGTACACTCTTCAAACTTAATACTTATTATATTTTTAATTATAATCTGTTCAATATTTGTTCGTAGCGCCTCAAAGGCCTCATATCAAACGAGTCAGTGACTGACCACGACGCATGCAAACTGGTATCCCTTTACGCCCTCCGCTACGAGAAGCACGCGAGCAACGCCCTCCCCTCCCTAGTGGACGCCCTGAAGGCTCGCAACTGTCCCGAACATTTAGTCAAAGCAGTGGTTAATATACTGGAGTATGGAGGCGCTCATGCTAGACAAAGCGATCTATTTGGGCTACAAGACGCCGCGAAAATCACTAAAAGGCTGTTCAAAGTGAGTATTTTACTTAAATGTAGATGTACTTATTTGTCTTAACGACTGTTTGACGACCTCCGTGGCCTACACGTGAGGTCTCGGGTTCGAATCCCGGTGGGAACAAATGTTAGTATGATGAGTACGAGCATTTGTGTCCTAGTCATGGATGTATATCTTATACATAAAATTCTCGTGTCACAATGTTAGTTAACATACTCCTCCGAAACGGCCTGGCCGATTTTTATGAAATTTTATATGCATATTCCGCGGGTCTGAGAATCGGCTACTATTGGGTATTGTAACGTAGTGTTCTCATATGGGTTAGGAGGAATGTTATCCCAGGAAATTGATAGAACACTACGTTACATACACCTAAATATTTTTTTGGACAATATTTTGATTTTATGATGTGGTATTAAAACATACATACAACCCTAAATTTTCTCTTCTACCACCTGCCCCTATTTTTATGGCGGTACGAAGTTCGCTGGGTCAGCTAGTATTTCTATATTAATATACTTTATGTGTCAAATATATGTATTATATCCGTTAACCTAGTATACAACACACAGTTAATACAAGCCTTACAGTGCTTACTTTGGGGCTAGGCTAATTGGTGTGAGAGTGGGAAATATTATTGTAAAATTTTGTGGTATTTTTGGCTTACATACAGCCAATGTTACTATGTTATGTTAATATACTTTGCCTTTTGTAACACAAAAGACTGCCAAGTTAAATCATCACACACTAATAAGGTTAGTTAAAAAAACTTGTTTCATTCTCCGCATAGGCTTGAACGGGAATCAAATCTGGGACCTCGAAACCTTACTGTATAGAATACATATTTGAAAAAACTCAAAAAACCAAAACAAAGGACATGCTTATACTGACATTATAAAATGAAAACTTATTTTTTATTCTATATCGATCCGAGTAAGTGAGTGCACCCCACGTGTTGTAACGCGAAAATGTCTCTAACTTTCACGCTTAAATCGCTGAACCGACTTCGATAAATTTTGTTGCAGAGGTAGAGTGGACATCGAAGAAATATATAGGTAGGTTAAATTTAATCGCGAAATTAAAACTGAATCATGGATTAAATTCTCATTCCCTATTTATAAAGTTTTGGATTGTATATAAAATACATAAAGCTGCGTAGAATTTTGATAAAATTTAGATGAATAGTGTCACTTTCACAGAAACTTTTACTTAATTTTCAAACAGTGCACACTGAATAGTCAACGTTGTTTTTTTAAAGAAAATATAACTAGAAAAAATTCCACGCGGACCAGGCAGCAGACGGGACTCGAACCCGCACCCTTCGCAATCCGGGCGAATGCACTGACCAATTATGCTACCGCGGCCCTCACGTACCGCGTCGAAATTCCTTCTAGCTATTCTTAAGCTGCAAGGCAGCGCCATCTCTTCGCATTATAGGTAAACCCACAATGTCAAATGAATACTTTTACAAGTATTAAACATTTGAAAGAAGAAATAGCAATTATAGTTACAATTTTTATTATTTTTAAAGCATGTAACTGCTTGATGTTTAAATCTAAAGAAAATATAACTAGAAAAAATTCCACGCGGACCAGGCAGCAGACGGGACTCGAACCCGCACCCTTCGCAATCCGGGCGAATGCACTGACCAATTATGCTACCGCGGCCGTCACGGACCGCGTCGAAATTCCTTCTAGCTATTCTTAAGCTGCAAGGTAGCGCCATCTCTTCGCATTTTTTCTAGTTATATTTTCTTTAGATTTAAACATCAAGCAGTTACATGCTTTAAAAATAATAAAAAAATTGTAACGTTGTTTTTTGTTTTTTTGCACACGTCAGTATCGGTTGTTTCCACCCCATGCCCTGATGACTGCCTACATCCGATCTGTCATGCTTTGGATGATGTTTCTAACATCACCTTGCGATGAGGTTTCCCATGCGGTCAATACTGCATTTCGAAGCTCGCCTAGCGTTTGCGGCGGGTTAGAAGAGGTTTAAATTTTTCTTTTGAGTCTGTCCCAGATGTGTTCTATGGGGTTTAAGTCCGGGCTACGCGCAGGCCACTGTAATTTTTGAATACCAAGATCTTGCAGGTAGTCCTCAACGCATCGTGCAACGTGTGGGCGTGCATTATCGTGCATTAACTGGAACTGGTCGTATCCAATAAGCCCCATATAGGGTACAACATGATCCTGTAGGATCTCCTCAATGTATCGAGTTGCAGTTAACCGATTGTCAATGATAACCAACTCCCTACGAGCGTCGGAACTTATTCCTCCCCATACCATTATGGAGCCTCCATTAAAACTAACAGTTTCAGTAGTAGTAATAGGAAGAGACCTTTCTCTTCTTCTTCTCCACACTCGTAATCGACCGTCTGGTGCACGTAACGCGATTCTGCACTCATCCGTGAACAAAACATTAGCCCATTGATCGTGTGTCCAGTTGGCGTGTTCTCGGGCGAAACGAAGCCGAGCTACTCGGTGCTGTCTGAGGAGTTCTGGACCTCGGGCTGGTCTTCGCGCTTTTAAATTCACCTCCTCCATTCGTCTTCTTATCGTACGCTCACTTACATTCACACCTCTTGCAATTTGGAGTCGCTGTCGTATCTCAACCGCAGTGAGGTAGCGGTTTCTCAAAATTTCCAAAACGATAAAACGGTCGTCCCGAGCCGATGTGCATCTTACACCTCCACTGCCTGGTTTACGGCGATAAGTACCTGTCTCACGACATCGTTTTAAGGCGTACTGCATTGATGAACGCGGCACATTGAATACAATAGCCACCTCACGTTGGGTGAGCCCTTGGTCAATTAGGGATACCGATTGTGCAACTTGTGCTGGCGTTAAAGGCATTTTTTTTGCTTTTTAAGTACGTTTACACTTTAATAAAATCCAAAACAACACAAAAATTAAAAAACGGCACAGTAAACTACACACATAACAACATTCAAAACTCCAATTATATTGCTTAAAATACGCGATTTGATTAAATCTCACAATTCACACCATGAAACGCTCAAACATATTGAATTACCCTTTTAAAACAAAGCTTAGCATTTTTATGACCCACCTTCATTAAAAACATTTGTTGTAACACTTGAAACTTATGCTATAGCTTAAGAAGTGTTTGGCCAAGATTCCGTGCCGCTGAGTGTATTATGTAAATACGCGTTTGACCCTCGTAGCGTTTCAGCCTCCATCTTTCATGCTCGTCGGGCAGAGCTGCACACGCATCCCACACACATACATATATATTGTTACGTGTCGGAATGGGGTTCGAAATTATATGCCAGTTCACGCTTGACAGTTATTTATTCATCACACAATTAACACACAATGTTAATTACAAAACACTCACTAAACACTGTATTTCACTATATAAGTCTCTTAAACTATCGCACTTGAACACTTTTGTTGCACTTTCATCGCGTTTGGATTCGCTCCGATATATATATATAAATATATAGTTGACGACCTCCGTGGCCGAGTGGTTTGTACGCCGGGTTTCATGGTGTCGCCGACTCGAGAGGTTCCGGGTTCAAATCGCGGTGGGGGCAGATGTTTGTGTGATGAATACGAGTATTTGTACTCCAGTCAGGGATGTTTAATATGTATTTCTATATAAATATACTTATATATGTACTGTATATGTATTCTATCCGTTACCCTAGCATCCCATAGCACAAGCCTTACAGTGCTTACTTTGTGGCTAGGCTAATTGGTGTGAGTGTTGGAAATATTTATATATTTATTATTTTATATTTATAGTCGTGTGACGCTTCTGACGCATTTCTGTTTCATCTTTTCCATATAATTTTTCGATTTACACCCCGTCGAAAAGAAGTGCACTTCAATAATAATTTTATCAATTTGTTCCACAGGGCTTGAACGGCGTAGAAAATGTCTACACGCAACACACGCCCCTACTAAAAGACACACTGGAGGATTTAATCAAGGGGAAGCTCAGAGAGAACCTTTACCCCACTTTAGGAGGGGATGACGGATACGGACGACGCCCACAAGATATCATAGTGTTCATAGTTGGCGGGGCTACATACGAAGAGGCATATTGCGTTCATCAGATCAACCAAGCATACCCTGGAGTGAAAGTAGTCTTGGGAGGGACTACCATTCACAATTCTACTTCATTCCTCGAAGAAGTCAAGTCCGCTATGCAGGGAGTTCACAGAACGCACACGAGGCATATTAAAAATGTCTAAATGCCGTATTGTTACAGTAGGGGTGATGACGGGGTACAGTAAACGAAATTCTATTTAGTCCGTCAGTTAGATGATCAAAAAAAAATGGACACGTATTTTTTCTTTGGCAATCAACCAAAAAATGACAAAGTTATAGCGCGTCAAAGTTTGGGAGTAGGGGCACGTGACGTCACTTTTGAGTGAATTTTCACTTATAAGTGTACTCAAACGTGACGTCATGCGACTTTTCAAATCAATATATCTCTGCAATGTTTATATTATGTGAAAAAAGAAAAAATACGTGTCCAATACTTTTTGATAATCTACCTGATAAACGAAGAAAAAAAATAGTCATCATCCCTATTATCATGATAAGACTATTCATTCAGGTTCAGTTTACAGTGACTGCTCTTGGTGATGTGTTAGCATAATTTGAAATTGTATTGTTAGTGTATTATTTATCACACCTTTAAGTTAGTTAGATGTTAACTTTTCTGGCAATACTATCAAAAGTTCTAAAGCTCGTTTCCTAATGTTGAGTAAGCTCGAAAAACCTCCCTGTTCCCAGTAGTCTTAACCACTTGAAATTTCTTATCCAATAGACTTACCGACTTCGCTAGCGTTATTATTTTCTTATTAGTTTTACTTTATCTAAATTTATAAATCATAGACCTCGTAATTGATAGCCATCAGTAGTTTTTTTTTAAAAAGAAATAATAATTTCATTTTGACCAAATGACAAACAATTCCTTTCTTTTGACCATTTTCAGTACCAGAACCTCCTAGTTATGTAGGGTCTCCTGGTACTTTTATAAACTATGTAGGTATTCCATCAATTACACCCTCCATAGCAAGTGGACAGATTCTCAGGTGGCCGAATTAGCAACTGGACAGGACATGTACAGTCCATAACATAACGACAACCTCCTGTACAGTCGTTTGTGTAATATTAATTTGAGCCTATATCATGTAATGCATTATTTGACTAAGCTAGTAACATAGTTGAAAGATGGGAAGTAAGTTATCTTCATACAAACGCACCGCACGCGGCTTGTATGTGTTCGCCATAGTATCTATGCGTTGCCGCAGTAGGACTATTGGGGAGCTTTATTTTACTGGTATTTCTATTGGGAAGGAAACTCCTAGTAGTTCAACTGGTCAGACTACTGGGATCAGGGGGCATAACCAATTGTAAAATATTCCAGGATCCATCCAGAGCTCCACGGGGTAGGGGATTGGGTCAGGCTAGGTAACGGCGCGAGTGAAATTTTTTGTATAGCAAGCGTCTATAGTCTATGGTGGTCGCTTACCATCAGGCTGGCCATATGCTTGTTTGCTACCCTTGTAATATAAAAAAATGGGTGCGTGTACTTATGTAGGCGCGTGAGAAGTTATCCTTCTTTGGCATCGTTTAAAATTAGTTTTTAATTGCATGCAAATAATTAATTACAATAAATTAATAAAAAGTCTGGAAAAGGACACAGTCAATAAAGTTCAGTTTTAATTTGAAAAAATAAATAAATAATCAAAATATTCAATTAAAATCGCTACTGAATATAATTTATTAGAACATATGTGATTTGCACTTGTATGAAACTCAAACACGTATTCCGAATATACAAACTAGAAATATGTGGATAAATATTATAAACTAGCGGCCCGCCCTCGCTTCGCTTCGGTGTAGAGCTGAAGTGTAGACTACAGTTTTTGTTCTCAGGCTTGTATTATACACAATGACATTCATCTATGATTCTTCTTATACCTGCATGCAAAGTCTCAGCCCGATCGGTTTAAAATTGATAAAGTTTCATACAAACTTTCATTCCTTATTTTATCCCCTTGGGATTTTCTTTATATTTTTTTCCGTAAGAACCTTGTACAGAGTATTAGAAAACTACAAAAAAAAAACAGCCAAATCGGTCAAGCCATTTTCATGTTATGTCGTGACAACGGAAAACGGGTTTCATTTATATATATATAGATATGAAAACAGTCTCTGTTCTAAATTCAAAACTCGTAACTTTTCCCGATGTTTGTTGCACGTGTTTCCCGCGCTAGGACCGCGAGTGGCCGCGCATGCGTACGGTGCGGCGGGCGACGCGGTAATGGCAGCGCGGCACATGAGCGACCAACTTCATGGTGTTAATTTTTTGTGTTACATGATGCGCGCGCATCTTAAAATTTCACTCTCAACAATTTTTCGGAACGCGCCTAAAGAAGTATAACTTCAAAAAAAATATTTTTCTTTACCTCAGTATAAGAATGTAGACTATATTTTATTCCTCTTTGTATATTTTTAAGAATAAATTATTCAATTATTACTTTAACGAATAGATATTAGGAATCTTTCTTCATAAAAGCTTGACAGCTTTGGTGATAACATTTCCAAAACCCTAATGCTTATCTAGCTTGTAGTTAAAATTTAAGTAATAATGTAAATGTGTACAGTGTCTTTAATGTTTAATTAGGTACTTTAAGGGCCAACTTTTCAATGCTCAGATAAAAGTTAAAATCAATATGTTATAGGAGAAATAACTTCAATTTGTCAGTACAATTACTGATGACCGTAACATTGCTGTTTCGTATCTGTCATTTTATTTTGCTGTCTGAGAAATAAACCGAGGAATAACTTTTATCGGACTATTGAAAAATCTGCCCTGAAGACAGTAAAATTATTTATTTGTGATTGTAATATTATTATACGTTTTATCAACATACATAATAACTTTTTATTAATATTCCCATTTAATGCTGCAATTACATTTGGTCGTTAACCCGTATTCGGGTGCACGAAAGATATCACTCGAATTCGTGCACCCGAAGCAATTTACCCGAATTCCATTGGCGCTCGTACTCGGGCTAATGACCAAGTGCAATCGCGCCATTAATTATGGATGCTTACACAATGTTAGCTAAAGAAATAGCTACTTTTTTTATATAGGGGTAGGCAAATGACTCTACCCCACCTGATGTTAAGTGGTAATAAAGTCCAAACGCGAAAAGATAGCTGGTACAGCAGTTATAAACTGCTACACCAATCATCCTCACTTTGCCGGCTTGCAAAAATGCTTCTTCACGCCTCTTAAAGGACCCCAGCCACAGTAATTCTTTAATCAATTGGTCTGGGAGTTTATTGTTTAACTATGTCTCTTGCTTTTTCTCTCAAAGCTTAAGAAAGTGTCAATTTATCTCTTTCCCAACAACAAAATAAAAAGGACGGCTGAATCGAAAAAAATTCACAATTCGCCCCCAGGTCAGGGTTTGGTATAAAATAAAACACTCGTCTGTTGTGTTCAAAACACATTTTTTATCATTTTTTTATTGAAAAATATTCATCGACATAGGTGTTGGGCGTCGTTCAACAAATACAGTATTTAAAACAAAATGCCGTTGAGTTTGGCACCGACCAGCCGTAAGCTAGACATTTTCACAAATCATAATAGAAGCTGACGCATCGAGCGTGCGCCTCGTGACGCGTTGTATACAGAATACAAACAGTTTTTAGGCTCCCCACTTTATAAAACACCAATGTTTACATTTACACCACAATCCATCATTCATTTCCTTCAGTCTTAGCGAATGCCGGGCGATGGAGTGCCGTCCTTCCGTTCGAGCTTATAATTTAATGCATTAATAAAATTGACAAGATGTTTTGTTATATAGCCTTGTACAGAGTCCACCGCCCGGCTACAGTTGGTGACAACTCCGTTTCGCGCCCCATACGTGGGGCAATACTCGTATAAGGCATTATAGAATCATTATTCTACGGGTAATGGAACACATCATCCACGCGGATTCTAGGATGACAATATTTACATATTCAAGTGCCCATTCGACGTACGACATACAAGGAAGCTGTTTCAGAGACATCTAACCTACGTGACGCAGCTGGTTCCACGCTACTCAGGTACGCGCGACAACCACCACGTCAACATCACAACTCTTACAGACTCTGTATTAAAGTCGCGATTTCAAACGATATCGGTTTATTAAAGTTCAAGGCACAAATAGTATTTCTCGCTGCGGCGGTACAATGAACTAAGCTCGGCTACGTAAAAAGAATTCTCTGTAGGGGCTGTCGTACGCTCATCGCGCTATTGGGTTAAAATTCTACTAATGCATTGTGCGTAAGCCACGGGTATATACACGATACATAGTAAAGGGCTGTCGTTGCATAATTTCGAACGTACCGACTTCAAAAAAAAAACTTCATTCGACACGGACATTAACATTGGCAATGTGTACAAAAAGTTATTACAATTGTTTTTTCTAATCCACAACCGTAATACGAACCGGCCGTCGAAAGGAACTACTACAACGCTTAGACAATATTGGAAATTTGAAGTCGAGCTAATTAATCGTCCGTATATTAAAAAAAAACAGGCCGTAAACAAATCTCCCGCCTCATTCAGAACGGTGCCACAGTAGTGCTGTGACTCGAAATCATATCGATATATATAATTTATATATCATTTATTTTGTATGGCGCTCAACAATCAACACACGCACATAGAATTTCTCATATCAACTCTACATAGCAACAAACACAGTGTACGCATTCACGCTATATAATAAAATTTTAAAACAAAAGTGAAAATAAAACAATGATTATATATAATATATAAAGCGAGCGACGCCGCGTCCGATCGTTAGTTCGTTGCTCGCACACTCGCCGTCGCTCTCCTTAGGCCCTTTCCGATATTTTTTTTGTGATTTTTTAAATGTTAACGTTTATCCAAATTCTTTATACATCACAAATGATACACGAATAAAAGCATATTCCGGGAAAGGACTCTATTTTCCCCTCTATCTTTATATATATTTTTTCGTATATACATATTTACAACTACCTTAACACCTCCATGGACTTAGCAAAGATAAAATTAGTTACATATTTATATTTTTTTTAATACCAACGTTTCGTTCTGTTTTATTATTTGTAAATATGTCTATTGTACAATCTAGTCGCTTTACACCTAAACACTTGTTTCAGCAGTAAATATTCTATTTGGGTCGAGTTTTCTTTTATTCTTAGAAAAGTTTTTATTTTTTTTTAATCCAAATTTACAGTATCATTTATATTGTTTCTGTTTTAATATTTTTTACGTTGCAATTGAATGGGTTTTTGTATTATCGATAGTTATTGTAAATCGAGGGTCGCTCTAACTCTAATAAAAACAAAACAAATGCAGAATTACTGGGGGGCTGTTGTTAAGAAATTCCAAATAGCTTTTGTAATATCACGAATTCCTTAATTTAATCTCCGCATCCCCCCAGTGTCGGCAGTGCGTTGCTGCCAGGAGTCGAATGACCGATGAAACTATGAGTGTCATGGGCATGGGCGCATCGTGGGCAGGAACTTTTTGAATTCCACTAATAATATTCATAAACTGTAACGACATCGTTTTAGAGAAACACCCAATAGCTTTTGTAACCTCCAAAGTATAAATCTGATGAAAAAAAGGGGATATAGAGTAAATATCCGCCTTGGTCCTTCGAGCCGGATACGCCCACGGTCATGTGTCCACGTTTGGCGCGACCCAGGGAGCACCGCGCGGAGGTCATGGACTAAGCTCCCCTTGATCCGACACGTAATCAATGTACTGGCACGACGAGAATAAACCGATTATAGCGAATTAATAACGATAATTCGAATTAAGGGGGGAAATCTATTTTTTTATTGTTCAAATGAATCGTAGTAACTTTAATGGTATTTAAACTAGATAAAAGTGTAATTTGTGACAGGGATTGGTAATGTGGTATTGAAAAAAAATATCATCAAATCTAATATCCAACTTTCAATAACTAATGTGGTTTTCGTTGCAATAAGACTGCGACTATTATAAGAGCCATTTTCGCCGTGCCTGTAAAATATAAAATATAAATGGGACAATACGGAAACATCACAATACTAACATTATTTTTTACGAACGAGAGAAATAATGTGAGAGATCTAGTCCTGTTTTGTGCAAGACCTAACTAACAAACAAGGGTCTACGCAGACCGAAAGGAGCTTGTTTGCAATCTAAGATGCGTGTTTGCGCTGACGATGTCAGACTTTATTTAAACTTTGAAATCACAGTGAAAGATGAATTCCTTTATTGTTTATATCATTTCACCAATTGTGGATTTGCTAGTATTAAAGTGGGTAAACACGCATCCAACCAACACGTAACCTATCAATTTTATTTATTGTCAAAACTACATGCGGTTCTCGAATACGCGACGGGTTTGAGTAGGGGCCTACAGTAGTATGGCAGTAACAGAAAAGACACTAACGCATATGCAACTTATTCGTAAACAAGACTGTTGAACGCACTCGTACTCGGAAAATTCAAATTTGTTTCATACGCATATATAGATAAGGTTCCATTTGTAAAAAAAGCACACACATAAGGCAGTATTCGAACTAAAAGTAACAATCAAATCATACAGAATCAACAAATAATTTTGTCTATAAACATTATGAGACCGACGGTAGATCCAATTCAGTTCTTCACAAATACTTGTCATCTATATAAACAAGGAACTGATAGTGATCTGTATGCAAAATAAAGTGGTCTCAGATTGACATTACCAATCGTCCCGTACACCATAACCTGGAAAGATACATCTTACTCTAATTTTCAGAATATTACATATAGGGTACACATACATAATAATAATTAAAAAAAAACAAAAACATAAGTCCACAGACAGTTAAGCGCGTACAAGTGTATTAGACACTCAACGTAACAATGTATAGCGCTTGACGGAGGGTCTTTTTTTACATACAATAATATAACTAACATAGATCTAAATAAATACGTTTCAAACGGCGGCCAGTTTCGACGCCAACGAAACCGGCGGCAGTTTCAACGAGAAACAAAATGGCCGACAGAAATTGTACAAAATTTGGAACGCATTCGGAGTGGTAGATTGGTTACATACGATAGTAACTCCGAAAGTGTTTTAAATCATTCACTCGTCCAGATTCATATGTATCGATATAAAAATCATTTTCTCACCACTCACGATTCGAGTTCACTATCGAATAATTCCGAATATTAATTTTCAACAAATCCCTTACAATTTCAGTGGGCTCAGAGAAATAATTTATCTAAGAGTAACACGCGGTCGCCCTTTAAGCCCAGAGGCATTCCGCTCCTATCTACAAATCAACAATACACATTTATAAGTTTCATTGTATTCGCCCCGCCGTGCTAAGCAAACCTCACACTTAACCACATAACCTTTAGGTTTCTTTTACCTTTTGAAGTATCTTAATTTATAATTTTAATAAGTTTCTCTCTTATATCATACAGCGTGCTTATCAAGCGATTACAGTTTCAATGTACATTTGAATTAGAAGTCGAATACAAATTTGTAGTTGGTTAATTTGTAAAAATATATTGTTGTTATGATCTTTAAAGGAAATAAATAAAAAACATTGTAAAATATTGTGTAAATTACTAGGAAAAAAAATGTTATTTACATCGGCTACAGTAAACATGCTGTATAACATTTACAACGAAAATGCTTTTGTGACTTCATTTATAAGAGACTGTTCTCAATAATATAGCTACATTATTCTTGCTATTTATTATATCCTATTTGAATAAAATATATTGTTAATATTATGATCTTAATACATATTATAGCTGTCTTATGTTTAAATGCACGAATTATTTGCTGCCAAGAAATAGATATTGAGAACAGTTTTCAGAGTACAGAATGACGTTACAGAAATGGAAACTGATATTTCATTGGACATTTTTTTTATTAATAATAAAGATAGCAACAACCTTATACCATACAATAAATATCGTAAGGTATCAGTTTATAGCAATTTGGTGGAACTGTTCAAAGGATTATTTTATTTCATATAGAATGAGTTTCGATTCATAAAAATAATATTTACATCGCTTACAAATATGGTTTCCGCACCACTAACATTTATAAGCTCGACATTTGTGACCATGAGTAGTTTAGAAAAAATAAAGCCAATTAAATCTTGACAAATGGTCACACGATTTTAAAATAGGCATATTTCTTTTTATTTAATAATAATCATTCATAATTCTAATTTAGAAATTATCACACAATAGCCGAATTCTGCCTCGTTTTTTCTAATTAGCAGAAAGTAAATTAATGTGATGAGTCTAATCATCTCTACAACGTCATCTTGTTACAAAAATAGCCATATCAGTTATCTTTAAGGTACAATTTTGTTTTGCGGTTATTTTCACTAGAAAACTCCATAAGGTAAAGAATTTCACTCACTGGCAGATCAGTAGTTCATAGAAATTATATACTACATAATATATTTGTAGAAGACTTGTTTTATGCCAGCACTTAACTTGGCTATTCGTATTCGCTATTTGTGAACTAAACATCAGTCTGTTCTTTTCATTCCAGGAGGCATGATAAGGACAGACTATTGTCAAGTTTACAAATAGCAAATACGAATAGGAAAGTGAAATGTCAGCATTATGTGACAACATGCTCTGAACTGTTTAGTTAGCTGCCATATTAAATGATAATCAGCATTATTACAAAACATAGACTAAAGTTAAACCTGGACTAAAACTGATGCTGTCACTTTTGTTTGCTAAAAAGAAAAACAGAGACAACATTAGGTTTAAACCAAGACTAACTTTTGTCCTAAGTTTGGAATAAGTGGGAATGAGTTGAAAACTTTAATTCACTGGTTGATATTTTCTTTCGGAAACAGATATAGAAATGGCTAAGCTATTTCGTGTATGGTCGATGCTGAGTATTACTAATCTAACTCAATTTTGTTATATTTTGATATATCTGATTTACGCAAAACAATAATATCATGAATTTAATCTGGTTGAATTGTCCACTCTCAAGATGATACAAAGAAATCTGAACACTATTTACGTCATATGGAATACCTACGAACATGTTCCCACAAACAAATGCCCTCCTTGCTTCAAAATAATCTTTTGCTGTGAATGGTTCACATGGATTTCCGATTTCGCATTGCATTATTCAAACGACTTGTGCCATTTGTCAAATATTAAGAGTACAGTAGTACCACATAATAAAGTATAACAGCGGCATTCTTTCTCAGCGCAAATGAGTGCTAATTAAGATCGTAAACACTAAGCATTAAAGACTTTGTTGTCTATATCAAAAGGTTGAAAATGTACGCATGAACTCATGTGACCAGTTTCGTAATAATGGCGCGTACGCATTCGAACATTAGCCGTCGAGTGACTGGATGAAATGTTTCTTTGCCTGTAAAAACGCGCATGATTGTCGCTGTAACATGATTATACTGATTAAAAACCCACCAATAACATTTCCTTTAAAAATCGCACCAATCTCTTTTCAGGCTTGCTTGCCTTTCGAATTTCACTTTACCTCAGTGAATATATAAGCTATATTTACTGGGACTCTTTTCTCGTTGAATAAATATGATCGGTGATTTCTTTCTATTCGTGAAAGATGTGTCTCATCTTAATTACCAGTATATTTGTGTAATACTACTGTACTCACAGTGACACCATTTGTGGCAATTCTAGTTTGCCCTATCTACTCTAAACAAATACTAACAAAATGGCAATTTGAAAACGGCCCAAATCACATATCAATGAATTCCAACACAGCTGGAAGTAAAAAGCTGTTTTTTTGAACCAGGAATTTAATACTAGCGAGTTTGTGCCTTGTTTTCCAAGATATTTTCTATAATAATGTAAATAAGCATAAAAGTTTAAATCACAAATTTGGGGGTTGCTTTACCATATCTTATTTTATGTAAGTTCCCGATATTTACTATAATGTAAGTAAGTGACCATGAAAACATTCACACAAATTTCTAAATCAAAAAGATAATTTCATAACCGACCAGGGAGTGTTTTAGCCATGAGAGTATTCAAACAAATTTCGAATTCAAACATATAGTTTTTTAACCGACCAAGGAGTGCTTTGGACATGAAAGTGTTCACACAAATTCCTAGTTTAAACATTAAGTTCGAAGACCGACCAGTGAGTGATCGCTTGCGGTTTAAAACATAAACCACCTTATTAATAAACGAAGAACAAGCTTGGATTAGTTACTCGACCTTCCGTCTCCGTTCATCGAATGACATATGCCATTTCAAAGACATGAACAAAACCACAAAGTAACTAGTCTAAGTTAATTCCTTGTTTATAAATATGAGGGATATAGTCTAAGACCAGCCAGTTTCGAGACCGTCCAGCGAGTGATAAGTGCGCGTTTCGAGTGGTCAAAGTCACCTAGCACGGCGGGGTCGCGCGGTGAAGGCGGGGTGCGTGTGTGGGCGGGCGCATGCGCGGTAGCGGTAGAGGGCGCGGGCGCGGGCGCGGGCGCGGGCGCGGGCGCGGCGCGGGGAGCGGTTACGGGTGCGAGCCGCTGTGGACCCCCGGCGTCGTCGCACCGCCCGACGAGTTGTGCTGCGGCGGCAATAGCACTTGCTGATGGACAAAACAAACATTATAGACTTCCGGACGCATGTATCGACCCACTTAGGGCTTTATGTTTAACGGTCTGTAGCAAAAATATAATATGTTGGGTTGAGCAATAATAATATATTTTAAAAAACACGAAAAAGATGGTTTATAAATCAGTTTAAAACTACGTAAAACCCTTTTGCTCAATGTAACATTTATTTTAGCTGGGTACCGTCAAAACTTATAATGCTAGGTGGGCCGATAGATGTGTCTGTGAGTATATATTATTTTCATATATTTCTTACGCTCTTAGTCATAAAAAATAAAACAGTTTAACAAACCTGTTTTAACTATTACACTGTTTTGTCACTTTCTCTCGAATCTTGACAGCGCTAAGAAAGAACGTGACAAAACAGTGTTTAGCTAAAACAGGTTTAAATAAAACTAGTTTTAATGGGTTTATGCACGAAACTTTATTTATTTATTCACGTTTCGCAGCCTTTTCAAGTCTGCATCGTCAGAATGATGATTTTTTATTAAATTTTGTCGAGCTACCATCGAAAGACTGATTGAGCGTTCGGTAATTTCATTGGAAGATTTTTAAAATTTTATTGTCTATGTATGAATTTATTAGTTAATTTAGTTAATAAAGTACTTTTTTTTAATTCTTTTTTGTAATTTTGAGTTTATTTATTTGACCCTAACTACCGTAAACTACCACCGGTTCCAAAATTAGGAAACCTTTCTAAGAAGAACCGGCGAAACAAACTCAGAGAGGCTTTCTAAAACTAAAACTTGACTCAACTAATTCCACGTGGACCTTGTCGCGGGCACCCACTAGTATTCAATATATCTTTGTGATCATATAATATGTAATGATATTGAAATAAATAAACAGATAAAATTGCCGGATAATTCACTTAAAAATGCCAAAACTGACCAGTTTTCCTTTGAAGAGAATGCGTAGTTGCATTTAGGACTTTTATAAATTATTTAGTAATTTTCATTAGTAATGCGTTAGATCATGTTATTGATAAAATTGGTCGGCTCAACTAGGGGCCGTCTCTGAGACTCGGACCTGGGTCTGCGTGTCGGCGCAGTAGCTCTCGGGTGGCGAGCCACAATAAATCTTATAGGTCGCAGTGACTACAGTCCCATTAGGACTGCATAGCCCCAAAAATCAAAATAATAATAATACACTACTCAACTCAACGATATTAAATACCCTAGATACACCAACACGAACAAAATCATGCCCGAAATCTCCCACTCTCCCAAAGGTCTGTCATTGTACGATCCACGGAGCTCCGTAAGATGATCGCGTAATCTAAACAATATAAGGCATTATTAAAACATTGAAAATCACCACACGATATAACGTCCTGATTAAAACGCATGCGTCAAAGAGTTATGGCAGTCCGAAATGTGAGCTCGTATTTTACGACTTATTGCTATATGCGAAAGAATATGGACCTTATTTCCTTGACTCTACGCGTAATTCTGAATGCGCTGTTAGCTATAGTGCAGGACCGGCCGCGAGGAAAAGAGATGGCAATAATTACCGACCATGCATTTGAATATCACAAATATTTTCTATTCAATCAGTTTATAGTGAGTTATAAACAAAATTTGCTTCAAATGCGTTAAATTAACAAACATTGATTAGATACCTGTCGAAAAAACGACATTTTACATACAATAAGTATTTATTTCAAATTTTTTCATGGAGCTTAGCGGCATGTTGACTTTTTAACGGGCCGCGCGTGACTGTGAACCAAGAAGTGCTTGAGTCGTGTTCAATCACTTCTTGATAGGGACACATTTTGAGCGAACGTGGTGTATCTAGGGTATTTAATATCGTTGACTCAAGTAGATAATCATACCTGTAGTTGGTGGGGGTGGTGGGGCGGTGAAGCGGTGGGCGGCGCATGGTTGAGGTAGGCCACGTGGTGGTGGTGGTGATGATGGGTCGGCAGCCCGCATAACACCTGCTTGTACACGACACCATAAGTCAATATTTTTGATAGAACAAATGTTATACAATCTTTAGATACGCCCTGAAAACCTGGAGTTTACTTGGCTCTAATCAGCGGTTATTTGAGGAGAGAGTTTAACGTAGCATATTTTAAATTGCTGCGGTGATTTTTACGACAAAAGATTCTTAAAATGCAATGTGATTTGTCTTTCTGAAAGAGCAATCATTCTTGATATACAAAAAGTACTTATTGTAAATATTTTGATTTAATTCACCATAAAATTAATAACGTTGGAAATTACTTTAAGACAAAATGAGACAATGCAATTTCTTAGTACTGTGTTGTGGCGTGGCGTCTGCGGTTATGAAATAATACCACAGTTTTTAGTGTTATGCAGGCACTTCATTTGGCAATGTGTATTTGGCATTTGTTAACTTGGGAGCAGTCTGTCCTTATCATGCTTTATAAGAAATGAAAAGGACAGACTGATGTCAAGTTTACAAATAGCAAACACGAGTAGCCGAGTGGAGTGCCGGCATAAGGGCATATCTAAAGATTTAAATCTTCATTTCGTCGATTATAATGCGAGCGGTGTATTTGTTAAGTAAGATTATGTAACGCTGCCACTTCACACGGCTATACGTATCTGTTGATCTAAATTTGACAGTAGTTTCTTCTTTTAATTTCTTAAGAATGGAGCGAGCAGAGAGACATTTGAGAAATAGGTATTTAAAAAAACTATTGCTGTCACGCATTGGCGAACACCGTGTGATAGGGACACCAGTAGTTGACGCTGAAAATTACGTATGAAAATTGTAAAATTCGAGGTTTGGCTTTCGAAGATTTCCTCGTTTAAAATTAGTTAAATGTAAAATGAATTTTACAAAAAGCTTAATAAGTAGTTTAGACTGCCTCCACGTTTTGCTATTTATGTAAATACTAATTAAATTAAAACAAAAATGTGTGTATTTTTGGCTTTTTTTGACTTTAGTCAAGAGAACGTACGTATAGGCATTAGAAGTGGAAGCGCAAGAAAGCAAACATATTGCTTTGTGTATATAGTAAAGATACTGATTTCTGATAGTGATTAAGTGGTATTAGGTATACCACTGGGGGCGGGGGAGGCGGCGGCAGGGCATGACTCATTGTGTATCTAGTGCTGGTAGTGACCGGGAGTTGGTATAGCTAGTTTAATGTAGTATTATGTGTGTGCATGTTTATAGCTTTGTAGTATTTATACGTGGACACCGCGAACGGTGTTACAGCGTAGTTTAGTCTATAGTCTATTCACTTTGGCGTGAGACAAAATGTAAACTTTATAGTTTGTTTACATTTTGTCTCACGCCAATGTGTGCCAAGGATACTTTTCAAGGTCACTTTTGACAAAAATAAAGATTAAATACTTTTTACATAGGAAATGCAGTGAAACATTAATTTTTTTTTAAAAGCTGGTACATACATTTGTATACGAAAATAAAATATTTTACATATATTTAACGTACATACACATCATAAATTCGTATATTTTTATATTGCTGATAAAAGCATTTTAACAACTTCAGTTGACATGGAAAAAGACCTAAGAACATAATCATTCCCAAACTAAGACGTATTATAATACGACAAAATTTAAGAGTAGGAATGATATAAGTATTTTACGTTGAAATGCTGTATTTTATAATCGGTTGATTTTTTACGTCAGCCATCTTTACTCTCCCGATCAACCTGTTGACGCGAGCGTGCATATTCTATCATAATTGTTATTTCCTTGTTTCATTTTTGTTATTTTTTTACTGTTAAGTTTAAAGTTGTCTGTGATTGTTTTCTTGTTGAATTGACGTTTTCGTGGCTATATTAATGCGTGGTGAAGCTGGACCTGATCATTGACTAGTAGGTACTTTCTGACATTAAAAAAGTTTTAGAACCTCAGATTCTTTGTTTACATTTTGTCTCAGGCCAAAGTGAATAGACTATAGGTGTAGATCTGTGCGTCTGGGCTATCGCATGTGTCGTGTTTATGTCCATACATACCGGGAACGGCGGCTGCTGGTAGTGGTGGTGGTGCGGGTGCGGGTGCTGGTGCGGGTGTGGGTGCGGGTGCGGGTGCGGCGTGTGGGCGGGGGAGGGTGGCGGGTAGAGGGCGGGGGAGGCGGCGGCGGGGGAGGGCGCCGCGGGGTACGACTCCGCGCCCACGCCCACCCCCACCCCGCCCGCACCCACCACGCCGCCAACCACGCCGCCGCCGTGGTACATGCGCACCTGCGGAACGATCACCCGGTTAACCGCGGACCCACTACGCTCATTTTTGTTTCCTAATTAGCTTCGCACGGCTTGTGCGTTTAGCCAATGTCAATGTGGTCAAAGTATTGAATCAAGTGAAAGTAAGTGGCGGTCGAGTGAATCCCCCTTTCCCTATGTTTCAGTAAATGTGTGGGGATTTACTGGAACCTCCCCGGGACTTCTTGAGGGGGAACGTCGAAAGACACTTTCCGCTATTTCGTTTCACTTGTCAACACTTGTGCATTGTAATCGTCAAAGTTCGCGATTGGGCTTCACACTATTTCATTATTGTCTTTTATTTCGTTCAGAACGTCACAAAACCCGTTTCTTACTAATCTTTCAACACGACGTGACTATGTCCAAAAAGCTTTGCTTGGTTTAAAAAATAGAACTGATAGAATTCTTTCTTCATTACACAATCCTCTACAAAGGCACAAGAACTAAATTAGAAAGAGGCATCGGCGAAAATAACGACTACAAGAAAAGCTCTTTTCAACGAAACTGTTTTTAAAAACCCGATCTATTACGAAAGACGACAATGAAATAGCTCGTACTTATCGCGTTTCCAATAAGAGTTCATATATTAGTTTATACGTTAATCTTTTTCATGAATAAAATAAGAGCTCGATAAGGCAGGTGGTTAGCGCACTCTGCTGCGATCGTTGAAGTTAAGCAACTTTCGCAATGGTCGGTCATTGGATGGGTGACCAAAAATTCACTATCTCAAGCTCCGTGCATCTACAGCCGTTAGTATCCTTCATTATGAACTAGGCCTGCGTGGTGGTTCATGGCCAAATCTCTCTATTCCATCCATTGGTAAGGCCTGTGCCCCAGCAGGGACATTAACGGGCTGATGATGATGATGTCTCATAAGTTTCCAATACTCACCATATGCTGGTACTGCAGCGCCGGTTGCGCTGGATGGGGCCCGGGGTGGGGATGCGGATAGGGCACGAACTGCTGCATCGGCGCCGGCGCCAGTAGCGGCTGACCCGTCGCCGCGGCCACTTGTACGCCCGACCCCACTCCCACTGTATTTATACGTACATTTATTTGATTTTAATACAAGATTGTGGAAATTAATAAGTCAGACTTTTAACAAAGTGAGAATTTTGCGGAAAGGCCCTTGAAATCAAATGTAAATATATTCAAATTGACTTATTGAAAATTCTTTTGTATTGTCCAATATTTTTTCCTACCATTTGGTATTTTAATACAATCCAAACCAATTGGGTCAATCCTAAACACGTACATTTGGAAATCAACATGGTAATATGGTAAAATCCAGCTACGGATTTTAAGCGTTTAACCCATCAAGGTTGGAAATAGATGGGAGTATTTTATTTTATCAGGTTTCGGGATATAGTTTGAGCTGATGTGTAGCAGAAAATAGTAGAACACAATGGTGTCGATTCTGGTATGATTCTCAAAACCTAAACTTAAATTTGACAACAGTTTATCCTTGTCATTCTCTACATAGAATGAAAACTGCATGATGGCGTGAATAAAGTTTTATCTTACATACATTTTAAATACTTGGATATTCACTGGGTCGGAAAAATATTCCAAAGTATCATGACGTGTGCGTTTAATTCAAGGTTTTTACTTGTTCTTCCACTGTATTTATCTACAATCACCAATTTTTTGAGCAGATCGATGGCGCGGGTTGTTAGCGCGTTCGGCCTATGATCGTGGAAGTTAAGCAACTATCGCAATGGTTGGTCATTGGATGGGTGACCAAAAACTTATTATCTTTAGTTCCTCCTTGCATCGGGAGGCACGTTAAGCCGTTAGTTCCGGCTGCACCTGCAATCTTTAGCACCCACCAATCCGCACAGAGCCAGCGTGGTTGGTCACGGCCAAATCTCCCTGTTCCATCCATAGGGAAGGCCTGTGCCCCAGCTGTGAGGAGATTAATAGGCTGATGATGATAACTACACTCGACTACAAATAAACTGGGCCAACCGCTAGTACCTTGGAACTCTAATTCGATTTTTTTCAAAAAGCATAAAACTTACAACTATTAAAGCTATATCTACAGAAAGTGTGTTTCATAATTATTAATATGAGTAAAAATTTATTCTAAACTACTGTCAACTTACTTTGTAATCGAGCAAGCAACAGCAATGCTAACAATTTGCATTTTTTTTAATAAAGTAGCGATTATCTTTCTTTTTTATAAAATGAAGATAGTCTGATACTTCTTATCATTTGCTTAATTTTTCTCCATAGTTTTCTCAGACGTGAGTATTTTTGATTCGTTCGTTACTTCCGAATACATCGATTGGAAAACGAAACTTCCTTGACTTTTTTTAAATAAAAATTTAATTAATCGATTAATCTCAATAAATTCTAGTTCTTTTCAATCACCACGAAACGCACTACCTGTGGTTATAATTTTGATAATTGTAAGTTTTATACTTTTTGAGAAAATCAAATCAGAATTCCGTGGTATCAAGTGGCCCTGTTTATTTGCAGTCGAGTGTATATTTTCAATAGGGATGATGACAAATTTTTTTTCTTCGTTTATCATAGTACGAGATCCGGCTGCAGAATCAGTGTACCCATCGAGTGTTTGCTGAGAACCAAATTTTTTCACATATTTATGATTAGGAGAATTTATATCTACCAGGTTGCCTATCAAAATGTGGCCGCTAGTATTTTTAATTAAATTATTAATAATTCATAATCCGTAAGAAATTTCACTGACATGTTTTTTCAATGAAATGTCGTCTATTTTACGGTAACATCTATGAAGACTCTGAAAAATCATGGTTGCCGTTGCGCACCTGGCCGCACCTCTTCGCAGCCAGGTGTACACAGGTATGATTTTGTTACATTTATACACCCACAACGTACATTCATATTTTATAAATCAAATTAAAGCTAATTTTTTTCTGTTCATTATTATATACGGTTGCCTAATTAAATCTGGCCGCAAATAAGGGTTGCTGGCTGTTAAATAAAGTAAACATTAAAAGTAGAGTGAAAGAGAGCTAGCGCGTTACACCACTATTCAGGCGAGGATAGCGATTGCCAGCTGTCGGACAGTTTAAAGCCATTGCGCATGCGTCAGATGCTAGTGTTCTCAACCTCCGATTCAAACAATAGTAGGTACGCCTCAAAATAATAAATACTCCAAAAGAAACGTCTTGGAGTATTTATTATTTTGAGGCGTACCGTAAAATGTAATTTAATTCATCAATAATATCCGTAAATGGATATAACTGTAATTTTTTTCAAACACTCTGTATGATATCCAAAATCATCGGTGGATTCAAGTGTTAATAAAATGTCATGATATTTATATTTTTTCTTACGACGAAACAATAACATAAGAGAACACTTTTTGAATGAAGCATTATCAAAGTCTAGTACATTGTTTTTTTTTTCGCACAGAAAACACGCCTTCATCTTCATAAATTTTATTTCACCCCGATGAGATTGATAATTTTTCGATGCACAAATGAAACAGCAATATATTATGTTGTGTATTACGTACTCCAAAATAGCGTGGTTTTTAACTTAGAATAAAAGTCGCAACTGATCCGTTGAGAAAACTAGCATCTGACGCATGCGCAATGGCTTTAAACTGTCCGACAGCTGGCAATCGCTATCCTCGCCTGAATAGTGGTGTAACGCGCTAGCTCTCTTTCACTCTACTTTTAATGTTTACTTTATTTAACAGCCAGCAACCCTTATTTGCGGCCAAATTTAATTAGGCAACCGTATATAATAATGAACAGAAAAAAATTAGCTTTAATTTGATTTATAAAATATGAATGTACGTTGTGGGTGTATAAATGTAACAAAATGATACCTGTGTACACCTGGCTGCGAAGAGGTGCGGCCAGGTGCGCAACGGCAACCATGATTTTTCAGAGTCTTCATAGATATTGCCGTAAAATAGACGACATTTCATTGAAAAAACATGTCAGTGAAATTTCTTACGGATTATGAATTATTAATAATTTAATTAAAAATACTAGCGGCCACATTTTGATAGGCAACCTGGTGGATATAAATTCTCCTAATCATAAATATGTGTAAAAATTTGGTTTTCAGAAAACACTCGATGGGTACACTGATTCTGCAGCCGGATCTTAGACTATCAGGTACATTATCAAAAAGTATTGGACACGTATTTTAACTTTTTTCACATAATATAAACATTGCAGAGATATATTGATTTGAAAAGTCGCATGACGTCACGTTTGAGTACACTTATAACGTGACGTCACGAGCCCCTAATCCCAAACTTTGACGCACTATAACTTTGTCATTTTTTGGTTGATTGCCCAAAGATAAAATACGTGTCCATTATTTTTTGATCATCTAACTGGCGGACTAAATAGATTTTCGTTTACTGTACCCCGTCATCACCCCTATTATAACTGATTCCTGACCTTTTCTGAAGTTCCTCTGCTGTTGTGCTTGCATGGGGGCATGCTGACCCGCGCCCCCCGCCACGCCGGCGACCCCGGCGCCGCCCCCCATCGCTCCATACGCAAGCTAAACGAAAGCAAATTATACAGGTAAGCTCTTAGCACAAATTAATAATTGATGTTGTTAGTGCAATAGCGATGGCGACTAACTTCTTTATCTTCGTTTATCAATACTCTAAGCACGAACCAATATCCAATTCAAATAGTTGAATTCAACCTCGATACGCGTCAAGTGTCAAAAAGTTTTGTATGGAATATTTTTAATTCTCCTTATGTCCGTTGTGGCGCTGTTCAAATGTCCATACAAATTCGATATTGGTTTGTGCTAAGGGTACTGGTAGATTATAAAAAAGTATAAGACACCTTTTTTTTCCTTATTCACATAATCAAAACATTAGAGAGATAATATATTGATATGAAATGTCGCATGACGTTACACGTCTTGGTACAATTTTAACTTAGAAGTGACGTCACGAGTCCCCATTCCCCAAACTTTGATGCGCTTTATCGTTGGCATTTTTTGGTTGATTATCAAATGGCCCCTTTGAAACTTGTACAAAAATTTCAAAGTTATATGATTATAGATTAATAAAGTCCTGATCACCAAATGCCATTAATTTTTTAAGTTTGTACTTAACATTTGCAGATAAGATTGTTAATCCTAGATAATGTTTTATGTGTGTCACAATATTATTGCATAATTTAAATGATGCTTGGTAATTTTTGTAACTATGTAGTTCGGATATGCATGAATTGTAAAACTTTTTTGCTATGGAACAGAGCATTATATACATTCAAGAGTATAGATAAGGCAAGAAATTGTGGGCTTTCCGGTCGACTTGAAACGCCTGTCTGGGGAAGTAACCTCCACCTTAAAGAAGACCACAATAAAATAAAACTATCCGTTTGTGAGGTTGTGTTTTTGTGGATTGTTAAGGTTATAGAGTTCCACAAGGTTGGGGATTGGGTTTAGTGCTGTAAGGTGAGGATGGAAAGGCACATTTTTCGCCGCTTCAGCAATCTTGGCGGTTGGACTCACAATCAATATCAGGTTAAGAGGTGGAGTAATTTTCTGCGCCTCTTATATAAAAATAAGTTGAAGTAAGAAAGAAGTGTACAAGTTTCGAACGTTAAGTAGGTACTGGACAAAAATATGTAGGTATTATATATGGTATGTTAATAACAGGATTCTACTTGTGCAGAAATTTTACATAAACAAAAATAAATATGTAGATAAATTTTAATTATTTCATGTAAGGAATGCCAGTGTGTCATGCTTGTGGGCTATATCAGTTGCACAGTTACACTTTGACCCATTAGCAGTGTCGTCGATAAGGAGCTTATTATTTCAAGATATTGAATACACGGAGTATTCTTGAGACTTGCAACAACATTAGTGATACTATTCGTTATTTTATTAAAGAGAGATTAAGGAATTTGGAAACATTTTTAATAATCGTCAAGGCATAAAAATTTTCTAATTAACACAATAGTTCAAATTAAAACCATTATATTATAGTGCCTACATTTTTTAACGAAAACTGATCAGTACTGAATTGCATATTGCTGTCTGATGAAACATTATGATAGTGGGGGACTGATGTAACGATGGTTGATATAATTTATTACGTATTATATCAAAAACATACATGTTCAAATTAAATATAATTTGAACATATGCGTTTGATATAATGTAAAGATACGAAGCCAATAACGCGCGTCTGATTAGCGAGCGACATAGTCCAGTTAATTATTAATAAAGGGCTGATTAGGACGTGGGATATTTTAATACAGTTTTATAATAATGAACGTCGACTCGATGATGTGGATCTTTTGGGTGATAGTGACTTTGGTGCTGATAAAAATATTGAATAAATTGTCGAACGGCAGGTGCTATACGGATAACGTGATGACGGGAAAAGTGGTGATAGTGACAGGTGCCAACAGCGGTATAGGGTACGTGACGGCATTGGAACTGGCGAGAAGAGGAGCCAAGGTGATATTGGGATGTCGGGACGACAAAAAAGGTAATAGAGCCGCAGAAAAGATAATCAAACAAACGAAAAACAAAAGCGTCAAGTACATGTATTTGGATTTAAGCTCGTTGAGTTCAGTGAGGAAGTTTGTCGAAGAGTATAAGAAGACAGAATCCAAGTTGGACGTTTTGGTGAATAATGCAGGAGCTGGCGGCATGGGCAGAAATATGACTGAGGATGGCATAGTGAGAGACATGCAGGTCAATCATTTTGGACCGTTTTTGTTGACTCTACTCCTAGTGCCCGTGTTGAAGAAATCAGCCCCAAGTAGGGTTATCGTGGTATCATCCATGTTGCACAGATTGGGCATTATGGAGGGTATCAACGAAGAAGGTCGCTACGGCTACTTCCAGAATTATTGCAACAGTAAGCTGTGCAATATTTTGTTTGCAAATGAGCTGGCGAGTCGTTTGGAGGGCTCTGGAGTGGTAGTGAATAGCCTGCACCCGGGGCAAGTCAATACGAGCTTGTATAAATCTACGCTGATAGAGAGATTGAGGTGTTTAGTTCTGTATTCGTTCTTTAAGAGTCCAGAAGAAGGAGCTCAGACATCACTGTACTTGGCAGTGGCTGATGAATGTGATCAAGTCAATGGGAAATACTTTGTTGACTGCAAGGAGAGTAGCATGTCTTCGAAAGCCGAAGACAGATTCATGGCAAGTGAGCTATGGTCGATGTCAGAACAATTAGTCAAATTGAAACCGGAAGAACGGATATGAGAATACTAGTTATTTTGTTTACAAAAAAAGTTATATTGACTAGAAGTGATGTGAAACTATGAGATGCAAGTACGTTTCTAGCATTCTGGCTCCATCTTTATTATCCAAATTAAATGCCAATACAAATGTCACAATACGAATTAGACATTATATTTGGATGACTTTGATAATTATAATAAATTAGGAGTTGCATGTAAGTTTGCTTTTTACATGAATGTTTTATTTCAAAATTAACCTGTAGATGTTTAATATTATCTATTGTAGATCAATCAATAAGAACCTTATAAAATTACCTTAAAATCAGATGAATTAATGTAAGAGGTTGAAACATTATCAACTCCACTAACAAACAATTATTCGTAAATCATTTTTATAATATCGCACGCTTATGGAATACTGACCTATTAGTATTTAAGTCATACAGTACCAGAGTAAGAGCTTGCGCTTCCCTTATCTATCATTTCTACAGTATGATTTTATTAACACACAAATATCGTTCCTTGGAGTGCTATAACATAAAATGTAATGACTCAAACTAGTTAATGTACATAACTCAACTTTGACATAAGAACAAATAGGACAGTTTTTTTTGCCTTAAACGTGCGATGTTTTGCACTTTCTTTAACATGATATAGTGTTAGTGTAGAAAGAGAAAACTTAAAATGGGATACACAACAAAGCCATTGTTCATTAGTAAAACCACCACTCCAAAAAAAACCTGTTAGTGAAAAGAAACACTCTCAAGTGTTTTAAGACTTTCTATGCATCAACATAGAGTGATATTTTGATGGATTTGTTTTTTGCATTTCCATCTGTCCAATTTTAATGTTTGATTACAATTCTTTTCCTTTGGACAAGACGTATTTTAGTCAAATCTGTTTATATAATGAATATAGGAGACTACCAACTTCCTCACAATAACGGTAATATAATTTTCTTATTTATCGTTTTTATGTAAATGCAGCGTTTAAATTAAACCACTCAGAGCCGTCAATTTAATATTTTCTAAAATGATGTGTTGTCTTATTTTGTCGAGATCGCAAAGAACATAATCAACATTAATCAATCTTAGAAATTAATTTACGGCTCTAAGCATGTGGTTTTAAAAAGATTGACCTGATCCAATCAATATTTAACTCACATAAAAGTGAATAGCTGCTTTTAATTATTGTGAATAGTCATGTGGTTAATAAAATCACACTTCACACTTTAATTGAAACACCAAAACAACCTTTGGTCAAAGAGAAGGCGCACAGTGCTAATTTCAAGACTGACAATTGATTGCATTATTCTGATAATATGTTATCTGTAAATATGCAATTAAAATTAATGAGTTGCGTAGTATCGACTTGAGACACTATTTATGCTTGTGGTAGGCATAAAGTAGGTATAGAATACTTATATTTTATTTTCTTAACTTACGGCAGTTATGACAGACCAATCCCTAATAAAGATGTGTATAAAATAATTCAGTTATAAAGGAAATATTTCTAATATTTAATCAAATTCCAATAATTAAGCAACTCATGTTAATTGTTTTGTTATTTCAAACATTAAATTGCTACTTTTATAAATCTCAAGAAAATTTCACGAGTAAAAAAATCCACTCACAGCCCAGCCCTCCTAGCATGAGTACCGCGATACGATATATAACTCGTTTTTATCACGCTCAATTGTCAAATTACTATGGAGTTTGACAGTAAGACGCGATAAGAACGTGATATAACGTTAATTGAGGTGCTCATGCTACGGGGACTGATATCAAAACAGGATCCTGATGTTAAGTTTATGTATCACTCGTGTCATGTTATACCAGAAATATTGGCCATAGAGGTATAAGAATAGAGTAGGGGAGATATAGACTCTACTACAAGTGAAAGTGTCCCTCTAATAGAAAGAGAAAGAAGATGAGAGACTGCTAGCTTTCTCTCTCTAATCGCGCATGCGCATTGGCAACCGTAAGCATCTTACTATTTCGATGTGATGCTTGGACCAACTATTGGACAGACGACTGCGCATGCGTCACAAGAGAGAGAGAGATAGCTAGCGGTTTCTCATCTGCTTTCTCTTTCTACTAGACGAACACTTTTAAAGCCGCCTTCCCCACTCTATTCTTATACCTCTAAGATATTGGCTCGAGGCAGTTACAAGGTCAGTCTTAAGAGTTAGCTACTGTAAACTGTGTCCAGGCAGTTGTTAAGAGGGCGAACGCACTCACACGCAAACTGTTTTATCACTACGGACACATTTGGTGGTGAATGAATATGTCACTTCAGAATTGTAGAATATATTAGCCCGAATTCATCTGCATTGAATAATATATTCCCTATTAAAAATATCATCCTCTCAGTGTTATTTTCGCGACAAAAGTAGCTTATTATCATCTTTATCTCTTAACCAAATTTTGTTTGACGGTTTATGGCCAATGTTAACAATCAACTCACCAAGAGGTAAGGTCTATAAGAGTTTAGTTGCCTTAACTTTTTATTAATGAAATTTAAATACCAACTGTTGCTACGAAACGCAACCTACCAATGTCAAATTCGAAAAAATGAATAAAATCTCGACACGCGTCAAAAGTTTTGTATGAAAGATTTTTAATTCACGTTACGTCCGTTGTGGCGCTGTTCAATTTCCACACAAATCTTCTTGATTTGACGTGAATCATCAAGATCGAATTCAACAATTCGAATTCGATACTAGTTCGTGCTAAGGGTACATAATAAGCTTATCTCTTACTGGAGATTGACATTGCCCCTCAAACTGTTTAATAAATTTGGCTGTTAGACGCAGAAAAGCACTTTAAGCCAACAGAAAATCGTTTAAAATTAGTAATACAGGCAGTCCTGGACTTACGTCGTTTCAAGTTACGTCGAACAATATTTTGAGACTATTCCTCAAACATACGTCAACTGTTACGATTTCCGGCATAGGAGAATACACTAGTTTTTTTTGCATCTTTGGCAGTTTTTGTATTTACATACATATTTAAGTAGATTTTAATGTAACTATGCCACCTAAACAAAGACATTTTGAGTCTATGTGGATCCTAACCCTTGAGTTTTACATGTAAACATATGAAAAAATATGTCTCGACTTACGTCGTTTCGATTTACGTCGCGTATTCCGAGAACCCATAACATGCCGTAAATACGAGGACTGCCTGTATAAATCATATTTGACGATAGTTTTGTGACATGTTCATTCCCATTGTCCACCGTCTCACCGCATCGGGGCGGTCGCGCTTGTCGGGCACCAGGAAGACAGGCGGCCCGTATTGGCGGCAATCGCAGCCCAACTCCATCTGCGTTCATCCGCCTCCACACTCAATATTGGACTCTAATGCTTAATGCTTATAAACTAAACTGTATTTGTCTAACTTTGTTATAATTATTCGGAGTGTAGAAAGCTTCACGCTCAATATTCAACTCTTTGCCTTCTATACACCAAACAGTACCCCTAGCACGAACCATTAGCGAATTCGAATATGTAGTTTGCAAACCGAAATGTCAATGTCAATTTTGTATGGAAACATGAATAGCAGAACTAAACATCAGTACACATTTGACAATGACATTTCGGACTCGCAAACGATACCAAATCAATATTGGTTCGTGCTAGGGGAACTGTTTGTTATAATGATATAAAAATGTGTGGCATAAACCTCATCTTTTTTAAGCGTACTAGAAATAGTCATATAAGCAATCTGTTTGAGTATATATGATTTTAACAGCTAAAGTATAAATAGGGCTGTATCACTATCGTGTTTGGCGGTCATAGCAAATACACGAAGATACTTTTATGACACAACAAAAATATTTCAAATTAGTACAACACTAAATGAAACACGCTTATACATGTTTTAAATGTGTCTTTTTACTATTTTTCAACATCTTGTCTCATTAGATGGACGCATACATCCGATCGACGATGAACACATCGTTTTAAGGTTGCGTCTTCAGAAATCGAAGAAGTCGAAACGTCATAAAAGTAATAAAAAAAAAAATTTAAGCCCTTTTAAGCGTGTTTTATTTAATGAGTGGTGTGTCTGAAAACTTAAGAAACAAATAGTATTACAACACTCTTATATCAAGGCTGAAATTTCAATCAGAGAAATGTTGCACTGTACGAGCTTTAATGTTTTAAGTTGTTTAATGTCATGATTTCTCTGTATTTCCTTTTAAAAAAGAACACTAAGGATCATTTTGGTTCTCGAATCAGTAGACAGATGGTGACTTCAATACTTCATATACACCTTACAAAATGGGAATTTCGTTTGAAACCAAAGTATAATAAACAATAATTGATTGTAATAAAACTCACGGGATGTGGATGCGGCAAGTATGTGGGCGGTTGTTGAGCCGCCGCCGCTGCCGCTGCGACCATAGCGTAGGCCGGCACCGCTGCCACCTGCATTGTAATGTAACTCTATTGACTAGGTACTAAAAGTTGATTTTGTGTTTTGATGAACGTGACGTGAACCTTTCAAGAGCTTTGAAGACGAACACCCCCTGTCAAGGGGATGATCGCCGCTCTTTTCAAGTGCTTAAGTACTTTTTATAAAAACGTTACGTCAGCGCGACTCGGAAGCCGTAACCGTTGGTACTCGGTAGCGTTATGGAACTAATGATATTTAATTGTGGTTTTTAAATAGTTTTTTTTTGTTGCAAGGCTGTTGTGAAGCAAGCACGCAAGCAAGCACTTGTGAAGGTCAAAAAGCTACCCCCCTCGGTTCACAAAACTACTACAAACTACCTTGCACAGACAAGAATCGGCAAGAAACTCAGCAAGGGCTGATTTTTTCTCCCTGTATTGTTATAGACAGAGTCGTCAAGTTCAAAAATAACTTCAGAGATTCTTCTGAAGTCACCTTCCATTGCATCATTTAAGATATAGATTTATAGTTACAATAAATTTTATAGCTAACTTTATATTTAGAGTATAGGAATCGGCATTACATACTACTGTTATGAAAAATAACTAATACCCATCAAATAACAAATTACAAGTAACACTGATGTCCATGCATAACGATCATTTAGATAATCATAAACTTTCTGATATTATTCATAAGAGTATTCTCGTTCTGAGATTTGAATTTGGTCAGTGGAAGCTCAATCAGATCTTGGGAAACTTTATTTAATAATGCAATACTACATCCCAGAAATGAACCTCTTGATTTTTGGGAGTCTGAAACATGGAACGGCAAGCTTGTTCTTAAATCTTGTGTTAAAGTTATGGCTTTGCCTTTTTTTGCAAATGCGTTATAGATTTTCTTACATATTACTAGCTGACCCAGCAAACGTTGTTTTGCCATATAAATGACTATTAAAAATAGGGGTTGGTGAAAGAAGGCTGTAAATTCAAATTCATAAAAAAAATGTCCAAGAAATAAAAAATAAATGGAAAAATAAAGGAGTATGGTCACTAACATTGTGACACAAGAATTTTATATATATAAGATTCTTGTATGTATCCCCCCCCTGACGACGCCCTTGGATGTATGCATGTTATATTTGTGCATGTATTATGACTCACCATATGGTGCGGTGGTGGGGGATGCGGCGCGGGCACGTAGCTGACGCCGGCGCCCACCACACCCACGCCGCCCAGGCCAACGCCGCCCACGCCCACGCCAACGCCCACGCCCACCGGTGTGCCCGGCGTGTGGGGACTGTGCACAATCACACAATATAAAATAGGTACACTGACATAACATTTGAGGAGCTGCCCAACAAAACGATATACGTAATAGGGTATTTGACAGTACTTAAAATGCCAATTGTTAGCATCTGTGTTTAGAATGATTATTGGCATGGGTTTTTACTATTTTTAGAAAAAAAAAAATCATAATTTTACTAAAAACCGCCTTAATTTTACTAAATAGTTTTCTTATCTATTGTCACGTGACCTAAAACGCTTGGGATTGGAGGAGCCTAAAATGACGTCACACGCAAGTTAACTTACGGTTAAAGTGACATTACATTATAGTCGTGTGACGTCACACACTAGTAAGACGCCATATTGTCCATAGAAACGTTTTCGTTTTCGAAGGGAGGAGATTTTGTGAAATCCTATTGGTTAACATTCCCTGTTTCGCCGCTCTACAGCCTCGCTTCGCTCCAGTGGAAAGGCAGCCTTAATTTCCTCACTGCAGCCGCAGAGGCCTTCCCTATGAATGGAATAGGAAGATTGGGCCAAGACGCACGACGCGGACCTAGTGCAAACTGGTGGGTGCTAACGACTTAACATTCCTTCCGGAGCACGGAGGAGTGCGTACTATAAAATTTTCGGTCACCCATCCAAGGACCAAAGTTTGCTTAACTTTAATGATCCCAGTCAGACGCACTAACCACTTGCACCATCGAGCTCCTCAAAATAAATAAATATTATTTTGAGTATTTTTCACCTCACAAACTTAGAATGTCTGAAACTTAGGCCTATTTGCTAACTTTTTTGGCATTTTCAGTGTTTAACTAAAGAAAAAATTGCATATCCATCTATGCTTTTTAGGGCAAGTATCTTAGTGGAGTTACAATAAAGCAGTAGTTGATCAGTAAATAGTTCGGTGATTATCACTTCCATTTGTCAAAAGCAGTTAGCGAATAGTCCAGCAGATGGTGCGATGGTGAAGGCTGCTCTTGTTCTTCTAAAATTTACTCATGTTCTATCGAAGTATTGATTTTTTTCTGAAACCTGCTGCAGTTTCAGGTTTCAGCGATTTCCTCTGACATAATCCGAGACTTTTTATATCTGATTTGTGTTTTATATCCTGTTTGTTTATCAAAGCTATAAATTAATGTATTTATTTAACTATTTTGTAAATATTTTTTGTATATGTTATGTCTATAGAAGTATTGGTACTAACCGGCTAGGATTAGGCGTCGTAGGACTTCGGGGCGTGAACGGCTTAGCGGCGGGGTTGAACTCCTTCGCGTTGGGGTTGAGGGTGGATTTCTTCAGGGTCACTGATACTGGAGACGCGGCCGTAGGCGGAGACGAGAGCGGCGATCTGTCTTGATGCTGCAGCGGTGGTGGTTGCTGGTCTTCCTGCTTTGGTGGCGGCGGCACGTTTACCGGTGGCTGTGGGGTAAAATAATAAAAAAATAAATTGCAGGCAGCTAAGACACATATTATGTAAAATGGGCGAAGGTGACCACTTAACATCAGATGACCCTTCCGGTCGCCTGCCTCCGTAGGCACTAAAAACAATAAAAATAATGATAATCTTATGCCAGCACTTCACTTGGCTATTTGTAAACTTGATACCGCTTTTTACTTTTCATTCTTTATAAAGCGTGATGATAAGGAGAGACTGTTGTCAAGTTCACAAATAGCAAATACAAATACACAAGTCTTCACTTGTATTTGGCTAGCACTTCTGCTGGCCAAAGAACAATGCATATGTATATCATTATTAACATGAAGCGTCGATAGTGAATTAAAATAAGGAAGACGATATTCACACCATCTTATGTGATATGGTGAGATTTAAATTCATTACGGTTGTAATGTTAGCAGCGATCGCAAGTATGCGTACGGTTTCAGTTAAGTGAAACCGACTGCGCGACTTGAGCTATCTTAACGCCCGCCATTTAGTTAATGGATTGCATAAAAATTTCATCTCGGGTCCATTAGCAGCAAATTCTTTAAATCTAGATTCAACTTAAACCTGATTTAATCCATAGAAAAATATCAAAACGTCAAACGTGACATTTTTGTATGGACTAAGTCCAGTTGTATTTATATTGAGATTTAGCAAAATTGCTGCAAGTGAACCTTGAAGAGGTTAATCTTATATACGGTAGCAACAGAGACAAAAATTACGAACAGATAAATTGCCAGATTGTCTAGATCGTTTCCGTGAAGAAAATATAGTGGCGTATTTCGAGAAAATTCTCAATCTAATTTTATAGCAAAAAGTTTCAGATCAGAAAAAAGATAAATAAATAAATATTTCTAACACTCGCACTCACACCAATTAAGCCCAGCCCCAAAGTTAGCACTGTAGGCTTGTGACATACGATACTAGAGTAACGGATCATCATCATTATCAGCCTATTTATGTCCCCACTGCCGGGGCACAGGCCTTCTCCGCGAGTGGAATAGGGAATTGGGCCATGACCCACCACGTGGGTCCAGTGCGGATTAACGGGTGCTAACGACTGCAGATTAGAAGATTTTTGATCACCCATCCAATGACCGACCACTGCGAAAGTTGCCTTACTTCAACGATCGCAGCCGAACGCGCTAACCACCAGCGCCATCGAGCATATATAAGTATATTTATATATAAATATATATTATTAAACATCCATGACTGGAGTACAAATGCTCGTATTCATCACACAAAAATCTGCCCCCACCGGGATGCGAATCCGGAAACTCTTGAGCAGGCGACACCTTAAAACCCGGCCCGGTGTAGACTGATCAGCCATGGAGGTTGTCATTACTTAAAGTAATGAAAATATACATAACAGTTGTTGTATTTGATACTTGATTAGATAGATACCTTATGTACAGGGGGTTCTCGTTTCAATTCAGCGGGTGGCGCTGGAGTGGGAGCATTCGCTGACACTTCTGGAGGACTAGGCGCCGCCGCCGGAACCGCCTGCGTACAAATAACATATTAGAAAAGACTACACATATTATCTTTAGATTTTATACATATACCAAAAACAAGTATATACAAGTATATATAGCTGAGGACGTAACGGACGTGGGGCGGGACGACACCAACTTGAATTCTTGACCAAACCCGCGGATTCACCGGAATTCGAGCTCGGGACCTCTGAGTAGTCGACACCTTGGAAACCACATAGCATTCGGCGATGGTGGTAGTCAATTTGGCGGTGCATTGTGTCATTGTTTATGTGTGACGTAGTCACTGTTTTGTTGTATAGCGTGTACATTAAACTGTGTTTGTGTGCATACTCAGGAAAAAATGACAGCATGATTTGAAGAGTATCATGTCACGATGGCTATTCCGTGTTGCTGCTCTATGAATAATGACGATGATGTCCAGTAATAGATGCTGGACGACAGCAAACGAACTCGCTCCTGATGTGAATATACATGATAAGTGATAGAAGCTGCTAAAGGGTGTGTGGGTATTCCATGCAAGACCTTTTGCTTCCATACAAGAAGATTTGCTTTGTAAAGGCAATAAAGATTATATAAAATAAAAAAAAAAAAAATAGGGGCGACAGCGGGTGGAGGTGCAGCGGATACCAACTTGAACTTTTGGCCGACTCGCGGATTCATCATGCTAACATTTGCCTCACCGGGATTCGAAACCGGGACCTCCGAGTAGGCGACACCTTGGAAACCTGCGTATAAACGACTCGACCACGGAGGTTCGGAATTTAAATTCGTTGAAGTGTTTAATTTAATAATGCCGAGGAGGGGCTTGACGGCGCAAGTGGTTAGCGCGTTCGGTGGAGATCGTTGAAGTTAAACAACTTTTGCAGTGGTCGGTCATTGGATAGGTGACCAAATATTTACTATCTCTCACTCCTCAGTGTTTATGTAGGCACGTTGAGCGGTTGGTCCCGGCTGCATCTGCACTGGGCCCGCTTGGTAGTTCACGGTCTAATCTCCCTACTCCATACATATCCCAAGCCTGTACCCCAGCAGCTGTGAGATTAAGCTCTCAAATGTGTAAACAATATGACGCTCAAAACCCTGTCTGTGTTAGCCCTCCATTTTGTTTTCACGGCCGGAAAATCTTTTTTCCATTTTCCTCTTATTATTCGAGTTCTACTGTACACGCCCAGGCTTCATTTGTGTCTTCAATTGAGTTAATCCTGAATAGTTTCACTACAAACTTATTTATATTTTAGATGTGTAAATTAAAAACCATTACTAAATATGATAAAACGCAAAATATGAAAAATGAAAATAATTTTCTCAACTCGTGGCAGAAATCCGCCACTTCCAGAGACAAGAGGTTTTCTTGACGTTGGCAGAAAATGGCTATTTACACAGACGAGGAACCCCTGCTGTGTAAATAGCCATTTTCTTTTATACTTTTCATTGAAAAAACTTTAAATCATAAGAATTACTTTTGCATTTAGCCATTCGTAGAGTCTACTAAAACATGTTCACATTTAGTATTTTTATTAACCAATAGGCTGATGATGATGGCGAGTGATAGAAGCTGCTACACTGACCGGTGGGTGTGTGAGTACAGGAGCGACAGCGGGTGCGGGTGCGACAGCGACAGCGGGCGCGGTGGCGACAGCGACGGCGGGCGGTGGTGCGGCAGACGACACCAACTTGAATTCTTGCCCGAACTTGCGGAGTTCCTGATGTTAACATACCACGTTATAATGTTGGTAGAAAATCGGCCAAGTGCGAGATGGAATCGCGCACTATAAGATTTTTTTATATTTAATTTAAACATTAGTAATAGCAGTCAAAAATTACAATAATTAAGTCGTACACACATCAAAATTATTAGTTCTTTTTAACAAAAGTAGTCTCCGACTCTCAGGTAAAAGTAATGTCTAAAAATATAAAAAATCTTTCATTTATATATATGTTATTTGATTTGATAGTTGGATAATTTTATCAGAGAAAATTTGCAACCCTGGAGATAACATTAGTTTTCGAGTATAATTTGTTTGTTACTAACCCACTATGGATCCATTGTTATCCGAAATAAACGATTATTATTATTATTTCTCCTAACATATATTTTAGTTACAGACCCTTGAAACTTTTAACATTAAGGCCCGTATTATAGAAAGATTCTCAGTGATTGATCTAGTCTTGAGCATAGTTAGAAGCGCTTTAATAGCGACATCCCTTTCTAACTGTACTCAAGTAAAGATCAACACTTAGTTGTCATTCTGTAATACGGGCCTAATTGGGCTGATAGATGTGTCCAGTAGTATATAGTTATACCACTCATAAATGCTACATTACCTGGACCTCATCTTGTCTCCGGGGCTCGGGCGGCGCGTGATGGCGCGGCGGCCGACCCATCGCTTCTCCTGGTGGAGGCGGATTCTGTAACAACATTATAATCAATCATAATCTTTACTTGCAAAGACACGGTATAACGATGAATTAAGCACTTTTTTTTGTCATTTTTAAAATTGCTTGCAAATTTAAAGGAAAACCATAAAAAGCTACCGAATTATGGATGTCAGAGTCATTTAATAATGATGTCAAATCTGGCATGATTCTCTAAACTATAATTTAAATCGGTATCTCCTTTCCAATCTGTATACAGAATGACAAGGAAACACTGTGGTCAAAAATAATTTTAGGGTTTAAAGAATCATGCCAGAATCGACAACAATATGTCAATAAAATAGATAAAGTCAACATATTAATATTATAAGGCTTCAAAATGTCAGATAAAAAAAGTTTTTAGCGAGTTTCCGATATTTCGTCACTGTTACTATAATGTTAGTGACTATGAAAGTTTAAAACAATATATTTTTCATAATTATTGTAAGATACTTTAAAACACGTCATTATTTTTTTTGATTGAGAAATCTTTTAATCGTAATATTTGCTTTTGCATTTAGCCATTCGTACAGTCTACTAAAACATGTTCACATTTAGTATTTTGATGTCGGATGGTATTTTATTGTAAATCTCGACACAAAGGCACAAGCCATTTTTCCTTTATTCCATTTCATCATTTTATTCCATTATTTATCAGAATTAGGGATCTTATTAACTATATTCTATATGCATCTCTAAGCTGGAAATTGTTAACCCTCTTAAACAACTGTTTGTGCCCGTGGACAAATACTATTTACAATTAAGAAATTATCATGGAATAATTAGATGAAATATCATCTATAATATCAGTAAATCAAAACTGTACATTGAATATTTTTTTAAAAGAATACTTGGAGTTTGATCTACAATCGATACCGAAGCCAAAAATAGTTTTTAGAATTTTTGTCTGTTTGTCTGTATGTATGTCCGGGATAAACGCAAAAAGTACTGCGTGGATTCACTTCAAATTTCGCACGAATATTATTAAGAAGTAGGGTCAACATATGGGCTGCATATTATCACGAAACTCCACATCTGAGGTGGTAATACGGGGATTTAAAGTTTGTATGAAAGTCCTATGTTTTAAAGTAAGAGACATGAAATTTAACATGTATGCTCTATAGATGGTGTAGAGGTGCACTGATAATGTATCTTTAGAAATAAACCCCCTTTTGGGATCAAAAAGTATGTGCAAATAACTTAACTCCACGTGTACGAAGGCGCGGGCGGCCGCTAGTAATAACTAACCTGACTATATGGCAAAATCCAATGGCAGCATTGTAAACTCATAAAAAAGACATTCGTTTTCAAAATAACAGAAGTTACTAAGGGTAATAATAATAATGCATACACTAGTTTTTTACTATTGTTGATATGTTTAATACTAGTTTTAATTCAAATGGCAAGAATTATATAAACGAAGAAGACATTAAGTCGGGGGAAAATTTATTAAGGTGAATAAAACTAGAAGTTTCGTCTTGAGAAAAAAATCCTCCGGGCGTTAACAACCAGAAAAATAATAACAATACTTACGTGGTGGTGGTGTCGATGAGGTGGAGGAGCTCGGGGCTCGCCGTTTAATTTGCCTGTCGCCGCCCTACAACGAAGAAAATCTTATTAAAAAAACAAGTCCTCAAGTATCCTTCTTTAAAAACTTATGAGTCTTCATCATCATTAGCCTATTAATGTCCCCACTGCTTGGGCACAGGCCTTCCCTGTGGATGGAATAGGGAGATTGAACCTTGACCTAATACGCAGGCCCAGTGCGGATTGGCGGGTGCAAACGACTGCAAATGCAGCCGGGACCAACGGCTTAACGTGCCTTCCGAAGCACGGAGGAATTCGAAATAGAAGATTTTTGGTCACCCATCCAATGACCGACCACTGCGGAAGTTGCTTAACTTCAAACGATCGCAGCCGAACGCTTTAACCATCTGCGCCGTCGAGCTCAACTAAAATGGGTCTTCTGTATAAAAGTTGCATGGTAATGTAATTTATTTTATAACACATTTGCTCGTAAAGCTTCTCTTATTGCACCAATTTCAATATGCAAATGTAAAGTAAAACGCACGGCTTATTATGTTCCGTCTAAAAACGAACGATACTTTTTGAAATCTTTAAATAAATCTTAGTAAAAAGTTTTTATGTCAGAAAGGTAGCCAACATTTTCTTAATAAAATTAACTTTGGGAGATAAAATATAATATATAAGCATTGAATCTTATTCTATTTGACAATAAATAACAACCATGTATCGGTAACAAATTCACAAAAATATTAATTTACTTTATTAGTAACACTGGCTGTTTTTGTTCCAATGCCTAAAAAAAGCGTTAATGCGCGCGCATCGCTAATCTGTGAAAAAGTTATTTCTTTTTCTTTTCGCTGTATTGTTTTTATTTGATAATATTGTCAAGTTGTAACGAATTTATTAATTTGACACCGCCGGAAGTCGAAAAAGGCTACGCTAAGCCTCTTGCCCGAAAAATCCATAGATATTTACAGTCAAGCGTATCAAAATTTCTTCTTATGGAAAACAAACAAACAATGGACGGATCGGGCTGAAATTTGGCATGCAGGTACATAGATGTTATAACGTAGGCATCCGCTAAGAAAGGATTTTGATCAATTCTACCCCCAAGGGGATAAAATAGGGAATGAAAGTTTGTATGAAACTTTGTCAATTTTAAACCGATCGGGCTGAGACTTTGCATGCAGGGATAAGAAGAATCATAGATGAATGTCATTGTGTATAATACAAGCCTCAGAACAAAAACTGTAGTCTACACTTCAGCTCTACACCGAAGCGAAGCAAGGGCGGGCCGCTAGTTAGGTATAAAAACACACTTGTGATACTAAATAAAACCGTTCACTGGTTTTTGCGTGAGTTACAAACATACAAACTTTTTTATAATATTAGCAGAATCTCAAGTATAAATACTTCGTTTCGAATTAATCGAATTTGCATTCATAATTATAATAAACTTGGCACCCTCCAATCAGAACCCGTCGCTGGGCTCGGTATATAACAGTATTGCATGGGTCACACACATAGGCGCGTGGGACACTACGGGCACGTGGTGGGAGCCCGCTTGTGCCGCGTAACTCTAGCCGGTGCCCGCTACCGAACTATTGTTAGGGCCCGTCGCTGGGCTCGGTATATAACAATATTACATGGGTCACATACATAGGCGCGTGGGGCACTACGGGCACGTGGTGGGAGCCCGCTTGTGCCGCGTAACTCTTGCCCGCACCAGCTACCGAACTATTAGGCGCGGCGTTGGGACCCGTCGCTGGGCTCGGCGGCTGCTGAAAAACGAAAAAAACAACAATTTAGCATTATAGCCTATTGTTATTGTACATCATCATCTATTGATGTCTCCACTGCTGGGGCCTCAGGACAAGAAATAAAGCATAGAAGGACTTTAAATTCAACTCATGTAGTTTTCAATATTTAACATATAGACCACAAAAAGGGATAAATATATGTTACTATGAAGCATACTATGAACAGCGTGCGTTCCGCTTCACAAACATCAAATTGGATACCTTTGTGCTTGTTGCTGTTATTTTTAAGCAATTTACTGCTAGATGTTTAAATCTAAAGAAAAGAATACTACAAAAAATCCACGCGGACCAGGCAGCAGACGGGACTCGAACCAGCACCCTTTGCTATCCGGGCGAATGCTGTGACCATTATGCTACCGCGGCCCTGATGGCCGTGTCGAATTTTCTCAAGTGTTTCTAAGCTGCAAGGCAGCGCCATTTTTTCTAGTAAACTTTTCTTTAGATTTATAAATCTAACAGTTAAATGCTTTAAACTATAACTATAATTGCTATTTCTTCTTTCAAATGTTGAATACTTGTTAAGGTATTCATTTGAGTGTTTTGACATTTTTAAGCGAAATATAGGGCAAGTGGGTCAAAAAACCATAAGTTTCGATCGTATACATATCAACTTATTGAAATGGTATTTTTGAGTTAGTAAATCTTAATTTTGGATACAAACAAATTTTGCAAAAACTGTCACTGTTTCTATACTTTATAGCACAACACATCCTGTCAAAACAAACCAAACAAAAGGCAAACCAAATCGAGAGTTTAAACGTTTTTACTTAAAAATACTTAATTACGATACTATGGAATTCAATGAAAATGCAGCGATTTCACATATGGCAGTCTAGATATATATCCCACTAGTTGTGCCCCGCGGTGTTACCCCGCAGTTTATTAAGGATATTTTCCCGCAATAAAACGAAGCTTATGTGTTAATCCAGGATGTCAGATGAACATACCAAATTAAATTAAAAACGCTTTAAGCCGTTTAGACGTGAAGAAATAACAAACATACAAATTTCATTCATCTGTCACTTTAGCCTTTATAATATTAAGTGTGATTTTTGCCAAATCCCACGCTGCGATCAATTTGACGATCCCCACCAACCAGTTTGCACATAGCGAATACCCGGTGGGGCGGGGCTCCTTGCCCCCTTATTGCCCCCCGTGCTCCCTCTTTTAAAAAACCCTCTACGCTGTTAAGTGCGGAACCGCGAGATCCCCGTTTTGGGACTTCACCGCGTCTCCGCATCCAACAGCCTCCCGTCCTAGTCGGGGCTTCACGGCAGGGTTCACCGGGGGTATTTCGGGAGATCCCGCAGACGTGCGCAGGACTGCCCTCGCTAGGAGCTAAATTCGGCCTATTGCCCACCACACCGCTCTCGGTCCGCGGAAAGGCTGCCTAGGTGTTTCCCTCGCAGGCCCTTCCGCAGCCCTCTCATGTAGGAGCTGAGAGGTCTGCCGTCACGGAATCCATCGGTGACCGGCATAGCTAACGCCATGCCGGGCAGCGAAGGATTCCCTCAGGTAGGGGGCCATCGCTTACGATTTCATTTTCTCATTTCTGACCGCTGTAGGTTTGACATGCCTTGAGCTCTTTTTTTTTCTTTTGCATTGGCAAGGTGTTTGAAAACTCGGGGGTCAGAAATAACAAAATGAAATCGTAAGCGATAGCGATAGCCATAGCAATATATTTAGGCGATTTACCCCCAGGGCGCGCCTTCGCCTTCCCCTACCTGTTCTTCTGCGGCGGGAGGGAGCGGCCAGTGGAATATCCTCCTGTTCCCTCTCAGCCGCCTCCTTCTGCGAGATGACGTCCTCGCAGAAGGAGGCGGCCGCTTCCCAAGCCGTCTTGAGCATGGCCTCGACCATGCTCGGCAGCGAGAGGGTTCCGCATCCTAGCGCCGCAATTAGCACGCGGCGCTGTCGTCCCCAGGCCGATCACTCCAACAAGGTGTACTCGGCTGTATCGTCGGGAGCATCGCAATGATGACAGCTCGGCGTGTCCTCCCGACGGGCGACCCAGTGTAGATAGTGACCGAAACACCAATGTCCGGTCAGGTACTGCACCATGCGGAAGGTGAGGCCGCCGCGCCGGCGTTCCACCCACTCCTCCAACCCCGGACAAAGGGCCTCTATCGTCCGGTGGCCGGTATCAGCATGAGCGAGTACGTCGTCCCATCGCGCAGGGCTTCTCTCTTATTGCCCCCCGTGCCCTCCTTACGCCACATACCTGGTGGGGCGGGCGCGCATCGGCAGGCGGCGTGAGGTGGTGTCGGGGCGGGCGAGGCTCCTTGCCCCCCTCGCGCCCCTTGTTGCCCCCCGTGCCCCCGCCTCCCCCGCCCGGGCTGTTGCCACCGCTGACGCCGTTGTTGCTCGCACCCATGGGCTTGACTAGCTTGCCGCTCTGTGTGGTACAGATAAAGAGATGTCAAGATGCAAAGTTAAGGAAGGACACAGACATAAAATGCAAACACAAAAATCGAATGAATACCGTGCGACTAACAAGCAAAAAAATATAAAAGAAACAAAGCAACCCAACGCCCACTAGTTCGCATTCAAATTAAATGGTAATTTTGAAAAAAAAAAAAATCAACTGAATTTATCTTTGATTGTCTTACGGTCGCACATGGAGAAGTCGATAATTTTAAAAGTTTTAATTTACACAGCAAACCGCATCAATTCAAGCCGATGCTGTCACTCTCTTCGCGAGAGCAATAAGGGTGACATTCAAGAAGTAAATGTGCTATTGCGACGGCTGGCTATTCGCATTTTGCTCTTTGTCATATTGACAGCAGATTGTCCTTCCTTATCATACTCTAACGGAGAGACTGTTGTCATAAATAATTCTAATAACCTCCAATCCCTCATTTTATCACCAAGGAACAAGTTTTAATGCACTCTAAATTAGTCCTACTCCGTTCATCTGTATATTCTTTCTCTTGTTCGGTATGTCGTACTTCTGCAGAGTCCTCGGATCCTAACTTCTCTTATTCTTCTCTTATCTTTCCGCGAACTTTCGATCTTGGCGGCTATTCCTTCAGCTTTTGATTTCGCGTCTCTGAGATAGAAATATAATACAACGATCCTCGCTCACCTGTATATTCTTCCTCTTGTTCGGTATGACGTATTTCCCGGGTGCGGGGTCCCCGGGCCTCACTACAGCCGCGTATCTTTCCTCTTCGTCTCCGTTTTCTGCGTCTATACGCGCCTTGTACGCGGGCGCACTTTCAATCTCGGCGGCTATCTCTTCAGCTTTGGCTTCCGCGTCTCTGTGAAACAAATTAATATTAGATATAATTTTCTTTTTATGCAGCAATTGGAAAACTAGAAAAGTCGACAATTTCGTCTTTTGCTGCGAGTTTTCTAGCTGCTAGATGGTGCAGGTGGTTAAAATGTTTTGCGATCGCGGAGGTTAAGAACATTTGCGATGGCAAGTCATTGGTTGGGTGACTAGAACTCATTATATGGAGCTACCACGTGCTTCGGAGGAGATGGCACGTTAAGCTGTTCCGGCTGCATCTGTACGCACCCAAAGAACCGCATTAAATCCGCGTGATAGGCAAATTCCCCTTCCATAAAGAAGGCATGTGCCCGAGCAGTGGAGATATTATTAAGCTTCTGTTCTGTTGATGATGATAGATTTTTTTTGTATAAATTGCAGACTGAGAATGTGGACGCCGCAAACCACATCGTTCTTTAAGAAGAAGTCCTGAGCCTTCTCACCTATAGTCCTAATTCGTTCTTGCGGAACAAGTTCTGGAGGCCTACTCTATATGAAATTTCGCACGTTTCTTACTCTGTTTCTTTATCATTTCGAAAATTCGTTCGTTCGTAAATAGTTGGACAATTAAATTCTCCAAGCCTAATTCCCAAAACTTTCGAATGAAAAGTTGAATTTGACAGATACTTGTTCGAAATTTTAACCTCAAATTGACGAAAATAAAAGTTTTACCTTTTCATTTTGGGATTTCTGTTTTAATTAAACCTAAAATGACTGCTAGGGTATTTTTATTCAAGGCTGCTTAGCGTGAGGAAATTTTTTAGCATGTAAAAATTAACAAATAAACCAAATTTTTATTAAATATTGTACTTCCAATACTTTAAAGTATTTAACGACAAATTTAGGTTGACATACAATAGATTGTATCAACTGTACAAATTAGTTGGCTAACACTGTCAAAGAAGGTTCTTTCAATGTCATCAAAATTTTTGTCGTAAAGTAATATTGTTTTCAAGTAAAAAAACGTAATCTAAAAAGTGGAGATATAAAGAACTCAGAAAAATGACTCATCCATTCGTTCATGAAAATCTTTGTGATTTCGAACTTTATTATAATTGTGTTCGAATATGAAATAGAGTAGAGTCACTGGCGAAACATTGTTTGAAATTCGTTCGATATCGAAATTTTGTTTCGTAGTAAGAGAGTAAAGCTCCTGGCGATATCATCACCTGTAAGTGATAAATCTTCTACTTATAGCCCTGTAACTAGTCCTGAAGCTTCTCACCTATAGTCCTGGGTATCCTTCCTCTGCAACGGCAGCGTGTACCCAGCTAGCGAGTGGTCGTAGGTGCTGTGGACGCCGTACACTTCTTCGTTCTTGCGGAACATATCGTTGGCGTCCCAGCCGTTGGCGCGATGGTCTAGCTCCAAGTCGTCGAGGCTCGCGTCGCCGTTTAGGGCGGGCGATTCGCCGGCATCACCGTCGCACGCGTCCCACGGCTCCAATTGACGCTCTTCGGCTACGCGGACGGTGCCTGGAAATACAAAAAGCATTGTTTATTCGGCACAGACATAGCTAAGTAGGCAGCAAAGAGGACATACAGGTGTTGGGGCAGAAAGGTCCTAGAGTGGCGGCCGGGAGACAGCGTTGGAAGGCCCCCCAAAAGGTAGAATGACGATCTGATAAAGGCCGCAGGAAGCCGCTGGATGCGGGCAAAGCAAGACCGATCAGTTTGGAATTCTTTAGGGGAGGCCTATGTCCAGTACCCCTAGCACGAACCAATATCGAATTCGTAAAGTTTGCGAGTCCGAAATGTCATTATCAAATGTGTACTGATTTTTAGTTCTCGTTACGTACTTTGTGGCGCTGCTGTTCAAGTTTCCATTCAAAATTTGAAATTGACATTTAGCACTCGCAAACTATTCGAATTCAATAATGGTTAGTGCTAGGGTACAGAAGTGGGCGTTTCTCAGCCGATATGATGATTGATGTGATGAGATACCATTAGCAGAGTATAGACTTAGCGTTCGAGATAGCGAATCTACCTATAATACGGGCCTTAGTGTGAACATTTCGTTCATTGAAGTAAGAAGATTCCTGTCAGTTTTACATGTAACTGTGTAACACAAAATTATAGTATCTAATAAATTGTATAGATAGCGACATGATTTATGTAAATGTTGCTAGTTCTATTAATGCTGATAAGTTTCTTGCGCCCATTCTTCTTATCAGCTTAAAGATGTCCTGAATGTAGGAAAAAATTGGAAGATACAAAAGAGCTTTTAATATGTCTATTTGGATAAATTATATTTTCATTTAATTTCATTAAGAATTTACTGTCCAATAAATATCATTTTTTTATATTGGAAAGGAAAATGCCACAAGTAAGTATAGTCATAAAAATGACACGAAAATAACCACATGACATTTTATATGGTTAACTAATTATTTTACTTAGTTTCAAGAACACTAACTCGTAAAACACAGTCGGGTCTAACAACAACTATTATTCGGTGACAATTAACTTGTTAATTGCCCCTAATGATCATTCCTGACACTAATCCCATTCCCAGTTAGACAGGTTAACAGACATAGTTTAGAAACTTTTTAATTTATAAAAAAAAAATGTATAAATTTATATTGGCCGGTACCCACAAGTACGAACAGCTAGCGAAAAAGTATTAGGCTCCTATTACAGAATGACAACTAAGTGTTGGTCTTTACTTGAGTACAGTTTGAAAGGGATATCGCTATGTGCTATATATAGGGACATCCCTTTCTAACTATGCTCAAGACTAGATCAATCACTGAGAATCTTTCTATAATACGGGCCTTAGTGTCGCCATCGTCACTATGGAAAATAAGCCGCGTTAGGACTTGAGAACAAACTAGCTCCTCTCATAGGAACTTTGACGATATTGATATGAATACTTTCTTGCTAGCTGTTAGTGCTTGGGGTTACCGAGAGCTAATTGTTTAAGTTTAACCGTTTCCGCGACATACTTCAAAGCTAAAGCGTGCCAGTGTGACATAAAACAATCTCTTTCGCGCGTGTAAAATGAAAGGGAACAAGGAAGGAGTAATGGCCGAAACAGACTTGAATCGCTTCTATGATCAGTGTGTGCGCATCACGTCGCATCGGATGTTCCTAATGTGATCCTGTACCCCTAGCATGAACCATCATCGAATTCGAATAGTTTGCAAACCGAAATGTCAATGTCAAATTTTGTATGGAAACTTGAACAGCAGCGGCACAAAGTACGTAACGAGAACTAAAAATCAGTACACATTTGACAATGACATTTCGGACTCGCAAACGATACGAATTCGATGATCAGTACCCCGATCATAGAAAATAGTACATTTGATTAGTCTCAACACGCGCGGCGTGGCGTCGCGTTTCCAAAGTCTGTTTCCGCCAATTTATTTCGCCTAAAACCAAAAAACGGGACAATATAGAAAAAAATATAACAAAAAGTAATAAACATTAACCTACCCAGGTATCAACCCGGCGCCTCGGAAATGGCGACCAAACGCCAAGGCCGGTGTGCCAATCGCACAGCCACAGAGGTCGTTAATTAACAAAAATACCAACACAACTAAACTCTGTTTAAATATGTTCCCAAATATAAATCATAATTTCAAGTTATAAGGTGAAAAGATTTCGTCATTCAAAATACCTAATAAAATAGCACATTAACCAGACAAAACTAGTACTAATTGTGTATTAATTAATGTAGCCATTAACTTGTTTCAACACAACCTTGCAATCACGTAAAATAAAAGAAAGATTTTTATATTCAATTTCTTTGCATTATAAATAGATATCGGATAGTCGCAGTCATGTTTAGCTAAAGTTGAGATGTTGGTTAATAAGGAAAAAAAAATATCGAAAATATTCCGCGATTCCGGGAAATTCAAATGTAAGTGTTTACTCCGCGAGATCTAGTAGACCCAGGTTGACACAAATGACGGTTGTCCTGTGTTTTTAACATAAAAATATTGAATAAGGTGTCCTTAATGTATAAGTAAGTTTATATTCATATACATATATTATACAGGGTGGCCGGGGAGTTGACGTTCAAAAGTAAAATTTAGATACTTTATGATGAGGAGTTTTTGGATATATCCAAATCACCCCCATGTATATGTATGTTCTACGATTTTGCGTACTTTTCGAGTTATAATTTTTTTAAAGTTTTTTTCGTAGTTTTCACCTAACATCGGTTTTCGATTTTTTTCTCATTCTGTTGGACGTTTCTGGTTCAGTTTTTTTGTAATAACTGACTAACATAGTCTAACCTATCATCCTAAAACTTATGGTTTATCTAGGCATTGCAGAATTCACTTAGAATTTGTTCGAAAGTTCAAAATTACGATTCGAGCTCAGTACACACAAATTTTCAAAGTATCAAAAAAAAAATGTAAATGGGGGGATTTGGAGTTCAAAGTGCTTTTAGAAACTTTCTGAAACACTAAACTTTAAAACAAGGTCAAATAAAGATAGGGTTAATGGGGGTTTATTTTCTGTAATTGACCTTCAAAGTAAATTAAGGCATTTTTTCAAGGAAAAAAAATTATTGTTATAATTTTTTTTTATTATTTTTAAAGCATGTAACTGCTTGCATGGTCTGGTCTAAATGGCGACACATACAAAAGTTTTTTAGAAGACAATCTACACATATTACTGGAAGATGTAAATCTTGAATTAAGAAGAATGATGGTGTTCCAGAACGACGGGGCGCCATGTCATTACGCGACACAAGTGCGTCGCCATTTAGACAAGACCTACCCCAACAGGTGGATCGGACGACGAGGGCCAATTGCCTGGCCACCATGCTTGCCTGACCTCAATCCTATTGATTTTTTTATCTGGGGCTACTTTAAAGAAATTGCTTACGCCAGAGAAGCTTCGAGTGAAGAAGAACTGAGAGCAAAAATTCGCGAAGCTGAAACCACTGTGAAAAATAACCGTGAAGCTTTTAGGCACCTAAAACATAATTTTTTGCGCAGATGTAGATTGTGTATTTCTGTGCGAGGGCGAAATTTTGAAAATTTGCTTTAAATAAATGTATTTTGTTAACAATTAACTGCGTTTTACTCAAATCCATCATAACTGAGAGAAAGGCAAAGATTTAAATAAAAGAAAATAATATTTTTTTTTCCTTGAAACAAAGGCCTTAATTTACTTTGAAGGTCAATTACAGAAAATAAACCCCCATTAACCCTATCTTTATTTGACCTTGTTTTAAAGTTTAATGTTTCAGAAAGTTTCTAAAAGCACTTTGAACTCCAAATCCCCCCATTTACATTTTTTTTTTGATACTTTGAAAATTTGTGTGTACTGAGCTCGAATCGTAATTTTGAACTTTCGAACAAATTCTAAGTGAATTCTGCAATGCCTAGATAAACCATAAGTTTTAGGATGATAGGTTAGACTATGTTCGTCAGTTATTACAAAAAAACTGAACCAGAAACGTCCAACAGAGTGAGAAAAAATTCGAAAACCGATGTTAGGTGAAAACTACGAAAAAAACTTTAAAAAAATTATAACTCGAAAAGTACGCAAAATCGTAGAACATACATGGGGGTGATTTGGATATATCCAAAAACTCCTCATCATAAAGTATCTAAATTTTACTTATGAACGTCAACTCCCCGGCCACCCTGTATAGTCTTAAATGGGAAATTAAAATTTAACTTTAAGTAAATATACATTCGATTAGTTACGCGATCTCGCGAAGAAGCAGCTTCCATAATTTATTAGCAAAAAAAATAACTTTAGTTAAATATGAATCCGATTATGCGATCTCTAATTATAAAACACCTCTCTCTTGGACATACATTTAGTTTTAGTAATTTTATTTCCTAGGAGCTCGATGGCGCAAGTGGTTAGCGCGTTCGGCTGCGATCTTTGAAGTTACGCAACTTTCGTAGTGGTCGGTCATTGGATGGGTGACCAAAAATTTATTATCTCGAGCTCCTCCGTGCTTCGGAACGCACGTTAAGCCGTTGGTCCCATCTGTATCTGCACCCGCCATTCCGCACTGGGCCCGCGTGGTGGGTCATGGCCCAATCCCCCTATTCCATCCATAGGGAAGGCCTGCTCCCCAGCAGTGGGAGAAATTAATAGGCTGATGATGATGAATTTTATTTCCTAAATTAATGAGGCTAGATGAAATCTATGCAGTCTGTGCAAGGATATTTTCATGTACAAGTGCTTTGAGTTCGTTTGCCAAAATCGCAGCTGTTGTAAAGCAATGGTGTGGTCTAAGCACGAACAAACAAAATCACATAAACCATATATGCATGCGGAGTTTCATTCCCTTGCTGTTCGTTGGATAAAGGATGCGAAACGAGAGGTGCGCAGGCGGGCGGCAGACGAGAAGCAAATGTATTAACTGGTGCTTGCGATCAAATCTGCATGCAATAGGGTAATTGACGGTATTAAAATTAAATTACCAATTGTTAGCATTTGTGTTTAGAATGAATATTGGCTGGGATTTTCACTATTTTTACAGAAAAAATATTCATAATTTTACTAAAAACCCACGAATAAGATAATAGTTTTCTTATCTATTGTCACGTGACCCAAAACGCTTGGGGTTGGTGGAGCCTAAAATGACGTCACACGCAAGTAAACTTCCAGTTAAAGTGACATTACATTATATCGTTTGACGTTTAAATAACAGTCGCGTTTCGTCACACACCAGTGAGACGCCATATTGTCCAGCGAAACGTTTTCGCGGCAACTTGAAAATGGAGTTTTTGATTTGGTTATTTTTACTTAAATACACAACAGAATGATGAATATTTACTTTTTACGGACTTCATAAACATGAGTCAATAACGTGAGATCGTTTTCTAAAACATGTCAAATACCCTATTGTGAAATTACACTATTCCTGCACGAACAAAGCAATACGGTGACTCATTTCTTAGTCGTATTATTCTCAACTGGAATTCTTTGCCCGCGCACGTGTTCCCCTCTTCCTTACAAATGAGTCCTTGGCGCGGATGGAGACCACATCCTGCGGCATGAAGATCATAGCCCAATCTCCCCACCCCATCCATAGGGAAGGACTGTGCACCATCAGCGAGGACATTATAGGTTGATGATGATGATAATGAGAAGAAGTATCCTTACCATTGAACTTGCTGGATATAGCGCTGTCAGTCTGGAACACATCGTGTGTGGCGTACTCGAGGTCCGAGTCCTTGGCGCGGATGGAGACCACATCCTGCGGCTTGAAGATAAGCTTCTCAACCACTGAGTCGACGGCCACCACGCCTTCTGCGTCCACGCGGTGCGCCACTTCTAGTACCACCTGTCGACAATATTGTATAAACTGCATTAGAATAGTTAATTCACCCACGGAAGCGGAGTTGCACGGAGATGAGCAGAACCCCAAGCACAAACTTTGACAGATCCGTATTCGCCACTTGCCGCTCTTTCTTGTTTTGACTAAGGCCTAGCCAGTGACGCATGGAAGGTACGAGTAGGGCGAGTACATCTATAGCAAGTAGGAGTATACGTTTATGCACGAAACATGTTCCAATATTAATTATAATCAAATAATGGATAATTCGATACTCTCTATATTATTAATTTTAAGTAAAATTTTTAAGGGGTGGCTGAAAAAATAGCGTTGGTTCAGGTCTAGGCTTGACCAACATTGGCTGAGCCATTCCCTATTGTCTTATTTTTACTGAAATTTTATTTAAATATCTGTTAACATGTAAAAAAAGACAATAAATTATTATTATTCGTATCGCCATCGTCAGTATCTATGGGAAAAAAAACAGTTTGTTCTTACGTCCAGTAGACGCTGCTCAGTTACCATAGAAACTTTGACGTAAGCAATACGAATAGGTACGGATCTGTCCAAGTTCGTACTTGGGGTAGTGTCTTAAAGGAATTGACTTTATTGTTAGAGTTCTGTACCTAAGGATAAAAGTATTTATCACTAAGACTAAATTGTCTGTCCGTATCTCATTAACCGTGACAGCTAGAAATTTTCATAGATGATGTATTTCTGTACTAAAATATTTAAGTGGGGCTTCCATATACAACAGACGTGTTGTTTTTTTGATAAAACCACAGGCAAGTATACTTGCGCATTAGAAATTTCGTATCCAAAATTGTTACTGCGCAGGCTTCCTTGTCTATGGTCTATGCTCAAGATGTTTGCCGGGGTGTATACGGAACTCTTCGTGCGCGAGACCCGACTCGCACTTGGCGGTTTTTTTTTTCACCAAATCCAATGTATTTTGGGCAATGCCATTGATCAATGTGAACACATAAGTTTGTTTTATTCAACGAGTAGTAAGCATAAAAATCAATTGTACATTAGGATAGGTTAGATAAGAATTTCATTACCAACAGCAAAACGTTTTAAATTATGTACCGCAGCGGTTTACGAACAATGACACACAACACATTAGGTAAGTGCCTACATTAAGAAACTGTTAACCTTCAAAGGACGGAACATGAACTCTCAGAGCGGTCCAAAAGCTGGATATTGTCGATTTGTCTCTACGCGTATTGCTCGGTCTCACTAACCAATGCATTTGAATCGCATTGAAGTTCTTTGGACACCCTGAACCTATGATGCTCCGTGGTTGTACATTGACCTGGTAAACACGAAAATGATACCAGACAGATTTATCGCTTTGCAGCTTGGTCACAATTAGCTTCTAAAATAATAGGGAGCGATATGGAAATAGATATCTATATATATATATATATATATATTGTTTTAAATTATGTATATATATAAATAAAATTGGAGTGTCTATTTGTAATATTCAAATAACCGCTTTTTACTACATGCATATGAATATATATACGGTACATAGACCAAAATCACAATTTTTACAATTTTTGTCTGTTTGTTCCGGCTAATCTCTGAAATGACTGAACCGATTTTGACGGGACTTTTATTGGCAGGTAGCTGATGTAATAAGTCGTGTGACGCTCGTAACACGTTTCCGTTTTATCTTTTCCATAGGATTTTTTCATTTACACCCCGTCCAAAAAGAAATTTCTCTTTAAAAATACGTGTCCTTATACTTCTTGATAATATACCTGATAGTAGAATAAGAAAAAAGTTAGTCACAATCCCTATTGGTAAAGAAAATCCTACGAACCTCCATAAGCGTTGCGATAAACAAAACACACCTATCCGATGAGAAACTTAGGCTACTTTTATTTTAGAAAAAAAAAACTAAAATTTAACGTGGGCGAAGTCGCGGGCGACCGCTAGTGTTAAAATAAAAACAGAACCACTATTCAAATTGTAAAGACCAGAAACAAAGTGATTTTAGTGATACGTACGTTAGTAATTGATGATTCCATTGCGACCAGTGACGTCATCCAAAACTAGCGAATAAGGCAGTGTCTCCTCGCATAGTATTTTCTACTAAATGAAATAAGTTGTATTTGTTTCTACCACATTCAAGTATCGACTAATTTAATTCCTGCCTAATTGGTGTTTAGTAAATCGACGTTGATGATCTTGTTAACAAATTTGTACTTAATTATTATACATAGTAACAATACAAGCTGCCGCCCGTGACATCGTTCGCGTTAATGTAGTTAGTTTTTTGAGGATGCAACGGGAATCGAGAATTTTCCGGGATAAATGTATACAAATCTTAACACACTTTCACATCAAAAGTAACCAATAACCCTCTGCAGGTCACACCTCTGTCTATACTAAAATTCATCGAAATTGATTTAGAACGATTTAGGTGTTTAATTTATTAAAGCGTAAAAACAAACAACCTCGCTTTTGAATTTATAATATTAGTTAGGAATTATTATTCCTAAACTAGTAAGTGCTTGCAACTTTGGGCAAACTTAATCTGTGGCTAATAATGAAATATTTAAAAAAAAGTTTCCTATTAATACTTTCAGTATTTCTTTCTTTTTATTTATCAGCCTCTTTATTTTTGCGACAAAAGTATTTCGTCCTTTTCTAAGATATCTTGTCTTCTAAGATTCGTGGTCGCTAACAACAAGCAGAGTATTTCGGTATTCTTTATCAAATTCTCGCTAAAAGTCAAATAAAATTAGTATCGTACATTAAAATAACCAATATCGATGTTTAAAACTTGTGTGTGGCATTCAGACAGACAGCTCAGGTCAAAAATATCGACAGAAACAATAGAATGCGTTCACACCCGCCGTTTTGTTTACATAACTCTGTGCTTGGTGCAGAACAAAGAATTTATTAGGGCGACTCGTAAATCACAGGTACACTCCGTTATATTCGATACGATTCACGAAGGTCAAAGATGATAAATGCTACCTACTTGATTCTTTTTTAAGCAGTTCCTTGTCAATAGTTATTAAAAAATTGCAAAACGTAATGTTAAGAAATTAATACCATTTCATGTCATAATAGATCATAGTAAAAATTAGTTTTTTCACTCTTTGCTATGTCTCTCACTAGGGCTGCCATCCGTCCGGGTTTTCCCGGATTTGTCCTAGTTTACGGGGCGTCCGGGGAGCGTTGGGCGGGGTTTTATTTGTAGTCCGGGTTTAAAAAATTACGGCAACGCATGACTGGCCCTTGGTGCTGCAAGTGTCCATGGGCAGCAGTGACCACTAATTATGAGGTAGACTTATGCTCTTTTGCCTAGATCAACATAAAAAAGTTAATTTGTGATATTTTAATTGTTTTTATTGGTCTGTCCGGGTTCTGGGCTCCAAAATCCCGGGTTATCACGCGTTTTATCCTGGTTGCCACATTTTAGAGATGGCAGCCCTATCTCTCACTGAAATAGCCAGATTTTTTAAATACGCCCCTGGCTTTTGCGATGATTTAGCCGTTCGGCTGCGATCGTTGAAGTTAAGCAACTTTCGCAGTGGTCGGTCATTGGATGGGTGACGAAGGCACGATAAGCTGTTGGTCCCGGCTGCACCTGCAGTCGATAGCACCCGCCGCACTGGGCCCGCGTGGCGAGTCATGGCCCAATCTCCCTATTCCATCCATAGGGAAGGTATGTGCCAGAGCAGTGGGGACATTAAAATACTTTAGTAAGTATTGAGTGCAGTTAGATATCGGCATTTTTTGTTCATACCCCTAACTGACCGTCAAGAAAAGTGGGTATATAAATACGAAAGAGTCGAGGCAATCGGCAATCAGGCGGGGCATAGTTCGTCTTTGTATTTGTAGTTTGATCTTTTCTGGAGAGTTGTCAAATTCATGCGAGTGTCGCTCGGTCCGTACTTATTAAAAGACTCTCATATCTGTGAATATTGAAGAAAATATTGGATATAAAAATGAGGTAAGTACTGGCTTCAAGAAGGTAAACAGGACATTATTAAAATAAAAGCGTGTGCGTCTCGGGACGCACTATAGAAGTGATAACTTAAACTAATCTAAGCAGTCGGCGCTGCGGGTTAGAGTGAGGGGAGAAGCCTGCCTACCGCTTATACATGCGTGAGAGGAAGGGAAGCAAGGGCGGATCCAGCTTTGGCGCCAGGGGGTCATATAGTCGTATCAAGTCACAGTGGGTACAGATTGTGAAGTGGATACAGATGAACCCAGCCCAGGGGGAGGGGGGGGGGGGGGTCATGATCCCCCCCTGGATCCGCCCTTGAAGGGAAGCCAAACACACTGGCGCCGTAACACGTTACGTAACGAAGCGATTTACCCTCCCAATCTTATGATCTTATGAAGTAATCACTTCAAAAAGTATTTCGATTCCAAATGCTTACACCGGCTTTGTGCTACAATCCTACAACCACAAGACAAATAAACTAGGTCAAAGCTACAACGTTGGATACACCGAGTTTACAAATATAGCACTTAGTGCTATATTTTTGTTACTTTATAAAGTGCGCTGTACCTGAGGCCCAAGCGAGTTTCTGGCAGCTCCGTAATGCAACGTAATCGTGTAATTTTGTATGGAAAAAGCTAGTTCTTACGTCAGATAGGTGCACTCAGTGTTGACAGGTCTCCTGATTTTACAGGAGATCTCCTGTTTATTTAAAATGTATCCTGTTCTTCTTCATGAATCTACTGTATTTCTTAGAATACGATAAGATATTTTTTTTTTATATTGCATGTTAAGTTGCTTTTTCCGCCATTAAGAATGTAGGTAACCTTAATTATAATAAATAAAATAAATGTTAATGTCTAAAAAAAACAGCTTAGAGGGACGGCAGAAGCCAGAGAAACAGGATGATAATAAATAATAGAGAACTTTTGCAAATCGGAAAAAGTACGCCTCTGCATCTAATGTTTTTTCTTGTAGCTCTTTCCATACATCTACTCCCTTTTCTATAACGCCTCCCGATTTTTAATCATCGAACCTG